TAAAATATTAGAAACGTAAAAAATACAAAATATTCAAAATATTCATTTTTGCTAAATATTGGAATACTTATGTGACAGTAATTGGTCATAATTTCGATGAATTATGAAAATGATCTAAACTAACAACACGTGATCCCAATGTACAATAAACGACGATTCATACAAAAAAAAAAACCCAATCCTTTCATAATTAACCGAAAGAAATCGCTACGAAAGCAAGCTTCTATAGCTACCGAATATTTTTGGAAGTAACTGTATCCACAAACGCGCAAAAACAGACGACTCGTTTTCCGAAGAAACATCGTTGACAGTTATGCCGGTGATTGTATAGATCATTTCAATACCGTATAGAAGAAACACGATAATGGTTTGCGACAGATAAGTTACATTCCTTCTAAACGACGAAGAGTGATTAGTCGTGTTTAAAGAGCGTTAATTGTTCGTACCGTTACCGGAATTCGGAATGTCACGGTTATCTATGGACGCGGCATATGTAATAAACGTAATCAGCAACAGGTCGAGCCGAATGAATCGTCCTTGACGAACAACGTGTGTCAAGTCACTCGTTTATGTTCCTTCCGATCGAATCTCCATACGTTTCCCCAAATTCTCTCTTCTCGCGCGACAATTCTCAACCGAGCAACATTCGCAATACGAAACGAGAAATTTGCATCGATGAAGCTGAACGTTCAATTTGAAAGAATAAAGCGCTCTACATAAATGCGTCATTTTTTGAAAGATGTCGAATTAAAGTATTAACTGTCTAAATTGCAAAGTACCCGCATGACAGGGCGATATTAATTGAAACATTGGCATAATACGTTCCACTTAACGCGGGGATACGTAACGAGCGTGCATATTTCTGCACTCTCCAGTCGGTTTCGCCGCGGCGCATGCTTATGAACGCGACGCGTATCGAAATAAATGGAAAAAACGAGCACGCAGGCAGAGGCGAGCGTCGGCCGCTAATCCACTTTGATGTAATTACGCGGGATGACAGAAACGAGCACGGCTGGCTAGGATGTATGTACGACGCGGTGATACGGTATGTAAACTATGCCACGTGGAAAAGCGCGGGCTTACCTTTAGGTTTCGGATGGGAATTTATGATTACGATTTCCTTAGCCGTGTACGATCGCTTCGTATCCCGTTTCGCCTTCCGGATTATCTAGACGCGAAATTTTCGGACGCTGAAATACCTACCGCGGCAACTAACTGCGCATCTTTATGCTCGCTTTTATTATTCCTCGCGCAATACGGGACCTCGGGGGGAATACGTGGCCTCGCAATACGGGGGGAATTTATTTTTGGATACTTTTTTCGGGGAAAATTATTAATTATGGGATGTTATTTTTTTTTTGTTCGGGTTTGAGCAGGTTTTGGTGGTTAATTGGAGAGATATTCAGTGAAATTTCAGTCTTTAACTTTGGCGTGGCGCAGTTGTTCTCGTCTGCGATCAATGTGAATGGAAATATTGCTCTTTTTTATTTATTTGTGGATACTTTTTCGAGGAAAATTGTGAATTATGGAATGTCGTGATTTTTTATTCAAATTCGAGTATTTTTTTGTTGTTAATTAGAGAGACACTCGATGAAATTTCAGTTTTTAACTTATTCCTCGCGCAATTATTCTCGTCTGTGATCCATTTGAGTGAAATGTTTTGTATAATGAAAATATTGCATTTTTTTTTTTATTTATTTTTGGATATTTTTTCGAGGAAAATTGTGAAATATCCTCATTTTTTATTCAAATTCGAGTATTTTTTTGTTGTTAATTAGAGAGACACTCGATGAAATTTCAGTTTTTAACTTATTCCTCGCGCAATTATTCTCGTCTGTGATCCATTTGAGTGAAATGTTTTGTATAATGAAAATATTGCATTTTTTTTTTTATTCATTTTTGGATATTTTTTCGAGGAAAATTGTGAAATATCCTGATTTTTTATTCAAATTCGAGTATGTTTTTGTTGTTAATTAGAGAGACACTCGATGAAATTTCAGTTCTTAACTTATTCCTCGCGCAATTATTCTCGCCTGTGATCCGTTTGAGTGAAATGTTTTAAATAACAGAAATATTGTCTTCTTTTTTAGTATGTTTTTGGATATTTCTTCGAGGAAAATTGTAGATCACGAAATATCCCGACTTTTCTCCCAAATTCAAGTACTTCTTCATGGTTAATTAGAAACTCGTAGAGTCACCGAATAAAATTTCAGTTCTGAACGAGTGCACTAGTGCGCCAAGCGGAAGCTCCAGGCCAGCCGCAACTTCCTGTTCCGTAGCCTATCGCGATTCTGCGCCCACGAGAGAGAGGTCGGTGCATTTAGTTACTTCCGGCCTGTGACAAAAATCGAGCGATCGGCTTCGTTAGAATCGACAAGTGCAGCGTCGCCTGCCTGCCACGCACGTAGCGTCTTGAAATAGACGCGGGCGGGCCTCGATTATCCGGATTAATCGCCCGTTGCAAGAACTTTCGGAATACTCTGCCTTCGTCACGATAAGTCGTCACACTTTTATTTGCCAATTCGGAGAAACGTATGAACCACTCAGCTGCAGACGTGACTAACTCTCTCGAATCCAATTTATCAGGTGAATTTCATTTATGAAAAAATTGCACGCCGATAAAATTCTACGCTTCGATTCTAAACTGAAGAATTGCGAAATGAGAAATTTCTCATTTTTCAAAATTTCTTTTCTCTTCATATTTTTATAACATGAAAAATTGAATTTTCTTCAATTATTTCATTCCACTATCATCTATACAGTAATAAATAAATTTAAAGCAAGTTTCCTCCTTCACTCGAGATCCAAGTGACTTATGCGCGAATAATTCACAGCTAAGCAAAAGCCGTGGCAATTTGAAATCGTCCAAGTATCGATATAGTCGAGTTCTTCGCGAACGGCGAAGAGGAAGAAAATTGCAGAACAGCGAAGTTTCCCAGAGTTGTAGCAGCGGCGAAATGCAACGGCTGCAATTCGATTTCCGCTTACGGTTTCGCCGGAAAACTCCGCGCCAGGTGAACGAACTCGAGTACACGACACAAAATTAGTCCAACCATGCTCTGACCGAATTCGAGGCGCGAGCCACGAAACGTGCTCAGTCTCGTGACTCAAAATTATTTATAGTGCGTATTTAAGGAAAACCGGCGTGTTACATTCTTCGAGGTTCGACGGTGAACGTTCGAACCCATAATACTGTTACACGCTCTTTCCTACCTCGCGATATCATCCCACGATCGTGAGAATCTCGCGTTCTTCGAGAAATACGAGTACACGCTCTGGTATATTCGCGTTTCCTCACCGATTAAAATTTCATTCGACTCGAGTCTCCCTTCTTTTTAAGTAGAAGGAAGAAAAATTCCAATTGTTTGCTCGTTGGAATATAGCGTTTAACGAATGGAGAATAGAGTGTATGCAAATAAGACGAGGAGAGAATTGGGAAACGTTCTCCAAAGGTCTCCTCGGGTTAATGGCTAAAACGATCACAATTAGCGAAAGACCATCGTGCAAATATTACGTGGATCGTTCAATTAGCTGTCTCTACAATACAATGGAACAATGTCCTACGGATCTTCTCCTTTTTTTTTTTTGCTATCTATTATTCCCGTAAACCGAGGGATTACGTAATTGTTATCTCCACGGTTCCACATGGTCGTGAAGAAACGAACCAGTGGCGGTTATCGATGTAGAATATCATGGAACTCGCGTCACAGATAATTTTAATCGTTAGTAATAAGCATGAAACGCGTGCAAGGTGTATTTTCCCCCGGTTAGAATGTTTATGTTGCTCGACGGCTCCGTGTACGATGAAATCACAAGTTATCCTCGATTGCGTCTTTATTCGAACGTATGGAAATTCGCGATGATCCGTCGTCTAGTCTTTGGAAGAAAGTAACAAAAGAGGGAAGAAGGAGACGATTAATCGCCCACGTAAAATTAATTAAAGGTCCATTGAACTCTGACGTTTCGTGTCGGCTTCGTACAGTGGATCGCGGATAAATAGACCGATTGAGCGAATTTCATCGAGATCGTTTAATTGGTACGCGTGTCAGACGCAATGAGAAAGGGACACGGGAATCTAATAACGTAAATTTCTCTCGGATGAGTCGATACTTGCTGGACGTTGAACTCGAGATAAGTGATTAATTGTCTAATGGTGGGATTATAAATAGTCCGGAGTTGGTGTATTTGCGAAACCATTTCATTCAGCTGGTTGTAATTGGAATTACGATTGTAATATCGTCGTGACCCTTTCTTTATGGTTAAATTTGTTTAGCGGTGATTCGATTGTTATCTGAGGAGTAGGTAAGGAGGTAAGGGATTGTTGTTTTATTGAATGAATCTCAATTCACCTAGTTTTCAACGTAACCGCACCATACGCTTTAACCGCGCTGTGGCTTCGCCACAAAAGGGGAGTCGGACAAAAGGAAATCTGACGGGGCGAACTTTAGAGTATAAAGCGGATGAGACAGAACCTCCCAGTCTGATTTAAATTAAAAAATTTCTAAATATTCAAATTTTTCAACTTTCAACTTCGAAAGCCTCTCTTCCAAATGAACGACAGAGATGCGAACTCACGATTTCGAAAGTACCGCGCTTCTCGTTTACACATCTCCCGAACCAGATCTCTCCTCCTCGTCTCTTCACTCGCCGAATGACCCCGGTACAACAGAGAAACAAAGGGACGCGTGAGTGAGTACGCCTGTACAATAAAAGATATTTCGTCTGTTGCAGGGTCTCAGCGGTGATTTGGGCGCGCGCGAAGTTCTCATTGGCGAATTGCGAGAGGCTGCCGAACCTCTGCGGGAGGGTTGCGCTGCAGAGGTCCGCGAGAAGGTCGAAGCGGCGGTAAATGAGGCCGTACAGGCCTGGGAGGACACCAGGGCCGAATTAGATGCCCTTTGCACCAAGTATCAGCACGCGTGCAGATTGTGGGAACAGTACAAAGACTCGAGTGCCGCTGTTAAGGCCTGGGTGGACACGCAGATGGACAGCGTCGCCAACTTACCACCTGAGGAGGCCGTCAAACACATCAAGGTAAAAACCCTCCCCTCCTACGAGCTCCTTATTTTTTCCAAATTTGCACACCTGGCTGGTTGAACCTGCTTACACCTTACAGTTCCTTCACCTCTTTCCAACCAGTTTTTCGCACTTTGTCCAGCAGAAAAATACATACACGAGATACTACCTTATCGCGTAAGTAAAGAGAAACATTTCAGAGTCGAGAGAAAAAAAAGTATAAGTTTATACACGAGATAAAAGTGGAAAAATTTTACGAATTTATATTTAACGTTTGAGTCATCGCATTTCGATTTCAACCGTGAGGTAATTATACCCGTGATCGTATTTTCTTCGTTGCTTTTGTCGTGGTTTCTGAATTTCGAGATTCTATTGTACTACGTTTCGACTGATTCAGATGGTTGATTGTTGTGACGAATGTGACTCACGCTTGATGAATTTTAACGAAAGAATAGAAAGAGGGGCAAAGACGAAGTGTAAACGCGATAAAATTAGTCAAACGTTTTGTAACCTTCCTCTATCGAAGAAACGGCCAAGCAAACATTTGAACGTCTCGTGAACGTCGTTACGGTGTGTTCTTCGAACGTTTGCAAATCATTCGAGCTTGCTAGAATTCTTCGATTCGCCTCGTAAATCTTCGTAAATTTCCACTTTATCTCGGCGTTGAAAGTGTTTCTTGCTGGAAGATTTGCTTCGGTATCGATCATTGTCGTTATCGTGCAGAACACGTCGATGACATAATGCTCATTATCGAAACGCACGGTAACGTTTGTACACGGTAATGGGCGAGACAAGCTGTCTATCGGTTCCAGATAAGCCGCGTGAATTTCACACCTTCGAAAATTATCTGCACACTCTCACCTGTCGATATTAACCCTTTCGCTCAACGACGCTCGGTTTATCATTCGTGGCTTCCTTTGTCTTCGGCTTTGCTTACCTTGTACCGTGTAAATGATCGCTAAAAATCATCTCGATACGTGAGAAACGTTGCATGAGTTTTTTAAAGGGGCGAAGAAATGTTTCTCGAGATTTCAGGTTCGTTGGAATTTTTTTTACATATTCTTATCATCGTGTTGTAATAGTCGAGGTCGAGACCGTTCTAATCTATGATAACGTGACCTATACACGACCCCCGTTACGAAAAATTCAGAAATGTATAATAGATATAAGTAATGAAATAATTGATAGATTAATGAAGAAAATACTAACTCAGTGTTCTTTACTAATTTCTCTAAAAATCAAACATCTGATCAACTATTGTACAATTTTTTCAATTACTAACAAGTTAAGAAAAACCTCAGAAAGAACACTTATTTCCCACACAGAACCACGTACCATAACTCCAACATACACTACCGGCCAAAAGTTTCGAATCACCTCCCACTTTTCATCAATATTAAATCTGCTGCTAATTTTTTATAGATTTGAAATTTATCTCAATTATGCGTCAGCCAGTAAGCAAAAATGAATTGTGTTATATATGTATATGAGAAACACTGCTAGTGAAAGATGCATAATAGACCTGATATATTCTACGTCTCTTTTCTTAAATGTGCAACAGAATTTCTGTCGTGCCCTTACGGTTTTCTGTTTCCTTTCGCTTCGACTACGAAATTCGAAGAGAAAAGACGTCCTTCCGCGCTATACAAATAAAACACATTTAAGAAAATATAAAGTGAACGCTATTATTAAACCCATTATCCAATACTACATTTATCAATTTATCTCATATCAATTGATTCGAACGATAAAAAATTCTCAAAGTCGCAGACTTTTTTCTGGAAATTGCAATGCTCGGTGATTCCAAACTTTTGGCCGGCAGTGTATAACATTTTCACACAAAAAAAAGACAATATTAAATTAACAAAAAAATTACGAATACAGTAACGTCAATCCTTTCCCAGCAAAAGAAGAAAAAATCTGAAAGAAGGTAAATTTTTAGACCCCTCTAGTACCCTCCCTTAAACCCACAGCCCGTCCTAACTCGCCGTAAAAGCAATCGAATCGTGACTCTCTGGCTCCACGCCCATGATAAATATCGTAGTAAAAAAAAAATCTTCAGACGAGGGTTCTGCCACTAGCAGAGTCTCTCCCTTGAATGGAAGCGTTGGGGTGGGTAGTGTCATCGTCCCCACCACGCCTAGCTTATGCTAGCGCAGTACGAGAAGGCATCGGCACGATTCACCCTACGCAAGTGTGCCGAAACGTGGGCTCTCTGCTAGGGTAGATCGTTGAAATACGGGGCAACAGAGTCTCCTCTCTCTCTCTCCGCCTATCTCTCCCTCTTTCTCTCTCTCTCTCTCTTTTTCACTCCCCACTCGACTGCTCTATGCGCATCGATCCCCTGAGAGACGCGGAGGAGGGCCGGTGTGTGTTATATTCGCGTTTCTACTGTCTGCGCAACGATCGAACCAGGAAAGATAGAAAAGAAAGAGAAAAAATTATCACGTTCGAGCTGATAACCGTGTGTGTTTGTGTCTGTGTGTGTGTTGTATCCACTGTGTCGATCGGGGTAAACAGATATTTCGCGAAAGCGCGATTATGCGCGTTTGGTCGCCGGTGGCCAACAGCCGGGCCGTGTTTCCGGTTGATCGGAAATTCGAAGCATGTGCACGGAGTCGGGAGAACACGTGCCCGATCTTGGTCCCGTGGTACGAGTGCTGCGCGTGACGACGAGTGCTGTGTGAAAAATAGGAACGATGAACGGTGACCTAAATTAAGAAGCATGTGCACGCCCGAGGAGATAAAGGTATATAAGATCGAAACCTACGACGAAGGGGGATTCTGCGATATATCGGAGCAACGTGAAACTGGGGCACATCCCCTTTTACTCTCTTCTCTTTTTTTTCTTCTTCTTCTTCTGCTTCTCTGTCGTCGGTCTACGTGATTCCGATTTCTCTCTCCCTCGATCTTCTCTTACCGCCTCGACGATGTGTTACAAGTGGTGATTTTTTTTTGGATATCTCTTCTGTGTACACGGTAGAATTCGGCGATCGAATACGTTCACCGTGTCCGAATTACCACCGGCGGGGATAGAGTTGGAAACTGCGCGTGTGATCCATAAGCGCACATGTGCGCCTGATGCAACGAACTGGAATAGAATTTCTACGGAGTCTTTGTGCATGACACTGTGCGCTGAGCTAGTAAATTGTAGTTTGCATTTAAACGCTCCGAGGCTGCTGGACGCTCTTGCGAACTTCCGTGTCGGAGGAGGTTGGATCGGTTCTACGGAATATCACCGAAGAACGTAAAATAAGAAGGTGCAGCGTGGTTTGCTTGATTTTCACAGAGAGAAAAAGTATAGTGTTGGTCGCAATTCTACGGTGTTTGAAAAGGTAACACATTTGTAAGTGAACGGGTTTTTGTTTAGGAAATGTCACGACTTGGAAACTCGATCGAAACGCGCCGTTTCAATTTCACGCATCTGTCATTCGTTATAGCTGTTTCAAGCCTTCTTCTTTGTTTTTTTCTCTTCTTGTTTGTCCACGCTACGCTTCCACTCTGTCCCTTTCTCATTCATTCGTTCTGTACCATTCATTTCTGCGCGCGCCCATTCATTCATGCACATTCCGGTGCACGCGCACGTGTTTTGTTGCGCGTGTGTCGCTCGGAATCACGGATGGATGTTCGGATTGAAAAAGGATCTAGAAGGCGGGGTGTATCGTTCGCTGTACGCAAGCTTCCTTCTTCTTTCGTTTTCCTTCTCGAAGCAACAAACATTTATTTTTAGCGCACAGTCAGCCCCTGCTATCTTTAGCCGGCGTAGTTAACAGGTTTCTGTAACGCCCACGATAACCCTGATAACAGGCAGAAAGCGCTTTTCAATCGTTATGCTTTCCTGCTAATTACCGCTAACTCGAAGCGACTGGTCGAGTTAAGATAAAACACGGTCGCACCCGTAAGTTTCATTACTCTTTCGATATTTTTCTTTTCCTCTCCCTTCTTTATCGCGAACGCTGAAAGGTATCGAAAGAAGATCACGAAATATTTATAACCCCCGTTCATACCTTTCCCGATAAATATTTCTCGTATCTTTTAATCTCCTCCCAGACATCTGTCAAACATAAACCCACCGGTTGCGTCCACTCGACCACCGCTTCCTTCGTACTTAACACATTGCCGGCCGGAGGTATGGAATTCGAGTAGTCTACAAAGTTGCACGGGGAAAATTTCAGGAAGATTTAGCGGGAAGTAACACGGGCGAAGGTGGTAAAGTGGAATGTAACGCTGCTTATCTTTTTACCTCTTCTGTTACCTTTCTTAATCCTTTGATATACGCGCTCGTAAAATACGAACGGAGCCAACGAACTCGTATTTTCGAGCAACAAGAATAGTCGATGTGACCATAATCTGTATGCGTATATTCGAAAAAATATAATAATTTTGACACAGTTTATTCAACCCCTTAAATACACCGACACACGCCTAGAAAATATAAAAATCTAAGGAATAATAATATAAAAACAGTTTACTTCTCCATACACAAAAAATCAGATATTTCTTTCTAACTTTCAAAAATTCCTTCCCGAAGAGATGAAGAAAGAAAGTCGTACCTCGACGTGGTATCTAATCCTCCGTCCTCGAAGGGTTAAAAAAGCCACGCTCCCCGACATCTTACACAAAAATCAAAAATTCATCTGTCACGATCGTAAACATAACCCATCCAATCAGGTTGACAATGTGTTATTCAAACGTGGCCTCGTACTCGAGCCTCTAGCCGCGGCTACTTGACCCCGAAGAGCAGTGTCTCAAAGGAATTTCCCTGGCTTTCCATCAGATTTGCGAGGAGACGATGGCGGAACACAAGGAGAGGTTGGCGGAACTTCGCGGCCTGGTAGCTCAGATCGCGTCCGACGTCGGTCTGGACGCTAGCGGACCGTTGCACTGCGAGGTGGAGGCTTTAGGGCAACGGCTGGAGGACATCCGCGAGACGCTGTCTTGTCTCGCAGACGCTGCGGACACCCGCGCCCTCAACCAGGTGCTAGCACGTGGCGATTTATGCCAGACGAAAAATTTCCTGGACTCGGTCCAACAGGCAAGTAATTATATAATCCACTCGCGAGCCTTTAACAAGCTCTGTGCCTTCTTCTCTTCATCCTCTATTTTTCTGCATCGAGGTAAGACTGCGTCGCTATCTGCATAACGCGATCGATAGAGCGTTAGCTGTGCAGTTTTATCTTTTTGCTTGATGTAGTATTTAGCTCGAAGTGAGACGTTACGGTGTAAGCTGTCTATCGATGACAGGTTGAAGCACCTATTACCACTTTTGAATAATTCATGAGGCGTTAGACGCAACGTTATTCATCGCCGTACACTCGTGTGTCGTTTCGAAATCGTGGGTGCGACAGATCTTGAGTGGAGATCTGTTCGCTGCCGCTGAGAAGCGCGATCGTGCCGTGAAACTGAAGGTGATTCTAGGAGAAAAATGAATTAGGCGAGAATGGTGAAGTTCGCCCGTTCAATTGAATTACAGTTTTGCATCGAGCTATCGAAGTTACGAGCGGTGGTGTGTATAGTCGAGACGTAAATTTCCCGGGGGAAAATATACGTGAATAGTAGTCGAGTTTCGGTAAATATTTTGGTCCCGCGGCGCGTATATCGGTGGAAAACGTGTTGACACGTGCGCTTAAAGTCGTTCGGCTACCGGTCCGTGTTTATTTAAATTAGCGCCAGACGCTGCGCTGGTAGCAGAACTACTCTTCCTCGACTCGAGGTCACTGTTCGCTAACGACGTTACAATTGTAAGAAGAATCGATTTGTGTAACGTGTCGACGCTTCTTTTCTTGTATCGGCGTTCCGAGTTTTTAACTTGGACGTGAAGTGAATTTAGCGCGAGGTGATGTTGATAAATTCGGGATCGATGGACCGGCGTGAAAAGGGGAATCGGCGCGGCGCGCCGTCTGAATTCCACGGGGCGCGTTTCTCGGAAAGGAGGGTTCTAAAGTAAGTGAGCCTCATACCCGCTGAAGAACGGCACATGTTCGCTTCTCTTATTCTGGCCTCCGCGGATTCGTCTGGAAGCATAGGATGCCACGACCCGCGACTACGCGCGAGGGAAGCCTTGTAAATTCCTTCTGCTTCCACGACCAGTAAAACCATCAGGCGATAAAACCATCTTGACTCGAACGCAACGAAATTCGCTCGATATACAGAGCGTTTCGAGAAAGATGGTCTGAGACTTGGAGCACTCGTCCAGTCGAGTGAAAAAAGTTTCACCCTTTCGAGAATTTCTTATCCGTCAATCGTCGCGTTTGTCGTGGATACTAAATAAAGATGAATTTTTGTGGGACATACGGGTCCCATTAACCACGAAAGAATATTACGTAGAGGGAAAATTATGTCTGGGGAAGAAAATTAAATTCCTCGACCTTTTACAACTTCCTGCTCTCGAGGTTTCGAGTACCACGAAAATACCCGCGTTACAAAAGCGCCAGCTGATGGTTATTTTTATTACCGTGCAAGGTTGAGCTAGTAGGAAGTGTTTCTCGAACTGAAGAAAAAAAAGAACCTTGGCCCATTCGAGTTTCCCCGAAGTAGCACACACCACAATAACCCCCCGTACGAAAATTCCTCCGAAGGAACCAGATTTCGTTTGTGGCTGCCTTGTCAAGGTGATATCCCACAGAGACGTGTTCGTTGTTGCACGCGTCCGTCAGTTTCCGGCGTGCCATTGGTGCTTGGCACAAGCTCGATCATCGCCTCGCACGCGCGTTTATATTTTAATCGCGGTAGTTCCGAAACAATTTGTTGTGTCAAGGCCGTTAGGGCTCCTCGAAGCCGCCCGGGGTGGCAATTACATCAGTCACGAAATCCGCAACAGCTGAAAATCCCCGGCCGTGCACCCTCCGCGGAAACTTTCGCGCCGCCTGTAGATGAGTGCCTCTTCGATTCTCGCCGCGTTTGTTATCGAATATTTCCCGCGATGATAACACACCCGTTCTCGTCGTCAATGGAAATTCCCAAGGACATGGCTGAACGGTAAAGAGCTACGAACTTCAGGGTCGTACTAGTCGATATTGGAAAAAGGGGTTTTCATCGAGTGGAACACACTCGAGATAGAATGAAGAGGGAGAGGACCACTTCGAATTACTTTTGTTTTCGCTTTTTGTTCGTGAAACTTCCCCTCTTCGTCTGGCAGATTCCACCACCTTTCAACCCTTTCGCAGGTTTTAGTACGTAACGCGTGCAACACATGGTAGATTCATCCGTGACCGCAGATCTTTTCTTTCTGGCTGAAAAGTTTGCTTTAATTAAATTAAGTTGAAAGTACGCCAGGAATAAAGTTAAGAATTAAATTAAAGTAGGAATGCGTCAGTCAGAAGCCACCAAAGCACAGTGCGTGCAAATTTTCAAAGATTGGTTGTGGAAGCAGAAAATAGATAAAGAATAGATAGGAAAGGGTTACGGGTACGTATCATTTTCTGGAGCCTCCTACTAAGTGGCCTCATCAACGAGACTCCTGCCACAGACGCGGAGGACTATTAGATTAATCTTGGAAGTTGTATATATAGAAACAGTAGCCTTAGCGAGGACTAGCGAGAAAGGTCAATGTTTCGTCCCTCTGGTGGTGGAACACAGAAAGTATACACGTTTTATAAATGTATTCTTCTCCTTCTTTTCAGAGCCTCACCGCGGTGAGCCAAGACGAGTCTAAGGAGCAATTGAAGCTCCTGAGGAACCACCTTCTGGCGCTCACGTGCACCGAACCTCAGTTACAGTCGATCAAAGAACGCAGCCTGGAGGTAGTTACGCAGGAACCGTCTGTGGTAGAGGTCCTGCAACTCTGGCAGAAGGTATTCAGGGAAACCTTCCAGCAGTATCACCGTTTATCGGCTCTTCTAGTCAAAACGCAGGATGGTGCGACCGCCTTGAAACTGTGGCAGGAGTACCTCTCGCACGTCCAAGATTTCCTATCGAACGACGTACCCAGCGACTACAACGGTCTGTCGGAGCACAGGAACCTCTGCGAAGTTCACAGAAATCTCCTCACCGACCAACAGAATCTCATCCTCACTGTTCGCGCCGAGGAAGGAAGCAATCTATCCACGACCGAACAGTTCAACATTTTAACGAATCTCCACAATGAAACGTTGGCTAAGATTATGGAGAGACACGCGGCGGTTCGAGACAGACTTGCTGCTTGGGACAGGTACAAAATGGACCAGAGCAAGCTTCTATCTTGGCTGAAGGAGGTAGAAAGGGAACGAGGTCAGTTGCATCTTCGATTCATCCATCTGAGGAGGTTAGAGAAAATTCTTCAAAGGATACAAGCGCTGTTGGACAAACTACCACAAGGCGAGGCTCAATTAGAGTCGTTGCAGGAACAACAGGAAACCCTTCTCGTCAACTGTGACGAAGCATTGGCCGTGTCCATTCGCATGGAACTCGCGGCTGATTCTCAGAGAATCGCCAATATGAGCGCTAGTTTAGAGACCTGGAGAGACTTCATCCAGAGGATACAGAAACTCTACGTGGAATACGACGAGCAGACGACATGTATCAGCTCGACGTTCGACGAGATCAGTCAAGCTTTCAGTAAAACGTTCCACGCCAGGCCAGCTAGCTTATCAAGAACGAAGGAGCAACTGGAATCTGTGCAACAACTGCAGCATAGATTGGCAAGTATGAGCCCGGATTTGGAATCCCTCGGTGTCATCACTGAACAGTTGAGAGAGTGTCTCAGTCCTTCGGACATGAAAGCCTTGAATCAACAACGTTCTCTGTTGTACCAGCAACACGGAGACCTCGAACACCAGGCTGCGTTGCTGGTGTACAGGTTAGACGAACGTTGCGGTCTTTACGATCGTTGGAGAGATAGACTAGGCAGGTTGATCACCTGGATAGAAGAGACTGAGAGTAGAATCCAAGACTGCGACTCTACGACACCGAACGAACCCGAAGAGACACTGAAAAGACTGGAATGCGAGTTGCAGGCAGACGTAGCGTTGAAGCAGAGAGAATTGACGTGGATACAGAATACTGGACAGGATCTGATAGAGGTAGCCGAGGAAGAGGAGAGCGAGAGGTTGCAGCGATCGTTGGACGAAGTGAACGAGAGGTGGGATAGATTGTTAGCCACTGGAAAAGCCAGAGCTAATAAACTGGTAGATCTGATGAGAACCATGAGCACACTGGAGAAGAGGATAAACGAGCTGAGAAGCTGGCTGGCCAGCGTCGAGTCTCAGCTATCGGAGACCTTCGTAATCGAAACGATCACTCAGAACTGTCTCGAGAAGAAGCTGGAGGATCACGAGCACCTTCAGAAGACCATCGAAGCGGAGAGTGGAAACATCGGAGACGTGTTGAATCTCTGCGAGATCCTGTTGAGCGACTGTGACTCCTGGAAGGCTTCCTTCAACACGGACACCATTAAAAACGGAATGGAGGGGTTGGAACGCAGATGGACGACAACTTGCGTGAAATCCGCGGAAAGAAAGGGAAAGATCATCCTAGCGTGGAAGATACTGCAAGAACTAGAGAAGATCAGAAGTGAACACGAGGATTGGCTGGAAGAGATAGACAGATCTCTGTCAGAATTGGAGAACAGTCTAGACGAAATTTCCAAGGACGAGTCTAAGAAGGTGATAGAGAAAGCTAGGAGCATATTGGACGACATAGAGGCGCACGAGTCGGTGAACAAGATAATCGAGCAGAACTTCGCTCGTCTAGCTAGAACAGGCTTGGAGCCAGATAATCTGAAGTCACTTATCAGCCAGACCAGGCTTCTTATCGATAAGTGGCAAACGCTGAAACCTAGAGCGAACGCTGTTCTATTAGCGTTGCAACAGGGACAGAAGAATTATCGCGATTTCATTACGGTTCACGGCGCGGCGGTCGTCGGTTTGACGCAAGTCGACGTTCGATTGACCAGAACGCAACACCTGGCCACACCTGAGCAGAAAGCGTCTATTCGGCGTAGATTGCAGCAGTTGAACGAGATCGAAGAGGAGCTAAGTGTACAGAATATCACGCTACAGCGTGCCGACGAGTTGGCGTTGAAGGTTATGCAAGAATGCCATCCGGATGACGTGGCGACTATACAAGAGCTCGTGGACGAGTATCAGTTGTTATGGAAGGACATCAAGAAGAGAGTGGCGTGTTTGAGGGCGGAAATCGAGGGACAGGAGAAGCTCGAAGTTGACGAGGCTGTGCAGGTGGAGACGTTGAAGTTCGAACAGGATTCTGCTGTTCAAGTGGACACGTTGCCGAGGCTATTGAGGATGACGTCCAGCGACGCGTACTTGATGGAACTGGAAGCTGCTCTGATCGAGTGCAACGACGCGTTGGACACACTAGAAATAGCCGTTACCCCGGATCCAGTTGCTGGACCTGGGTTGAACGCGACTGCTAAGAACATCGTGAGTTCGATTCTCCTCGGTAGTTTATAAATGTCAAGCTGTAGAATTTTTTATCGATTTTTTTTTTTTTATTTAAAACGGATTAAAATTAGACGTTTTCCCCGACAGAGTAAATTGATAGGAAGCTGTCAGTCGTCGATCGAATTGGTTCGCCACTTGCACAGTTTGCTCATGGAGGATGGAAAGTTGAGCGCGCAGACTGCTAAAGCTAGCGAGGTAGCTGCGCTGACGAATAGATACGAGAACCTTCTGTTGTTAGCGAGAACGCGCGAACAACAAATCAGGGAGCTCAGGTAAAAATTGGCACGGTGAATAGGGAAATTTACAATAGGGATTAATTGCTCGATTATCTCGTTGATACAATAAGACGCTCCTCTACCTGTCTAACTAACACCATTAAGCCAATATTGAATTTTTCACGCGCAGGTCACCTAACTCCGACGATTACACCTCCCCCTGCGATCAGTGAGTGTTCCCCTTTCGCACTAACAATTTCTCATTAACAGTCATTAACGATCTCCGCTTATTTTGTACCTCCTTTTCTCGTAGCGCACTCCACGTCAATTTTCAGTATGTTATTCACAAAGATTCGTTGTTGTTGTTGTTGTTGTTGTAGGAGAAGAAAGGAATGTGTATACAAAATTCTGTTGTTTGCAGCGATGGCGGAAGATTGACCTGTCCGTTGTGCTCGAGACGAAACTGGGCTCAACTGGAGAGCGATTTATGGCGGCTGGAGAAATGGTTGGAATTCGCCGAGGGTACACAAAGTGAACAACACTCGCCACCTAGTAATATAGAACAGTTAGAAGATGTGATACAGGATCACAGGGAATTTTTACTCGATCTCGACAGTCACAAAAGCATATTGGTCAGTTTGAACACCGTCGGTGCTCATTTGGCCGATCACAACGAAGATCTTTGCCGAGCCTCTCAACTTAGAGATAGATTAACCATCGCGAACACCAGATGGGACAAAGTGTGCACTCTTGCTGCACACTGGCAGGAACAGTTGCAAGTTTCACTGATGTCGAATCAACAGTTTCATCGTATCATCGAGGAGCTGCTGTCCTGGCTGGAGAAAACGGAAATTAGCATACGAGCCAGTGAACCGGTCGATTTGACCGAGTCGCCGGAAATTATGACTGCCAAGTACAATAAATTCAGGTACGTTTCTGTGCGCTGAAGCTTGACCCTTTGCGGATGAAGGACTGTATGTCGTGTTGAGTTAGTGGTTTTTTTTAATATACAAATATAAGTCATTTGAGGTGGGTGAGACGATAAAGACTCTCTTTCGTTGCCTCGATTTATATTTAAATTAATTAAAGTAACATTATATAATAATTCGTCTTGTGACAATCGAGCAACTACGGTAAAAAAATTGTTTGCCGTGGAAATTTGAAAGACGAAAATAGAGATAGAGGTAGAAAACGGCGGTTCGCACTCGAGCAAGCCTGGACGCCACGTGGCATTTCTTAAACTAGGGCGAAGGCAAGATCCTTGAAAGCAAGACAAAAGAACGGAAACCGAAGACCTAAAGAAGCCCAGAAAAAGAAAATTTACAAGAAAGAACAGAAAAGGTTTCGGAAAGCTCTGTAACAAGGACATGTTGACAATTGCATAATAGTGTTATCTGAGTCCATCGTCCTCAGAGGGTTAATTTTTCACTAGAATATCCTTTTCCCTCGGTCTTTCAACTTTACACAATCTCTATGATTCTACGAAAAATCATAGATCCACTATTTACCAGTAACCCAACATATTTTCTCCAACAAAGAAGTGAAACCGAAAAAACATTTCCTTCCAGGGAACTGAGGAGCGACCTGGAGAGATGCGAGCCTCGAGTTCTGTCGCTTCAGAGGTCTGCCAATCAATTACTGGACGAGAAAGGCGAAACCAGAGGCCGCCTGCAGGAACTGAGACTCAGGTTGCAGTCCCTTCGACGACTCACCGGAATATACGCGTTGAAACTCGGCTCAGCACTGGGAATGGACCCGCGCGACGTTGGACTTGCCGCCACGACCACGTCACTCGCGTCCCTATCTCACGATGTAAGCCCCGTGTCCATTCGTACTATTCTCAACGATGGAATAACGAACTCGAGTCGAAGTGAAAGTTCCGCTAAAGAATATCTTCGATTTTCGGTTTAAGACGAAAACTTCTCTAGAAAGAAATTTGCAGGGAACGTCAGTGCCCTGAGATTACCCGCTGGAACTCTGTTGGTTCTCGCTTCGTAAATGTTAGCCCTCGGTGTAGATCCATGCACTTGCGTCGTAGGATCACGTTATAACGATACTTGATACACGAGGCACGGACCGCGATAAAAATCCGACGAATATTAAATGTGGAATAACGGGACAGGTGGACATTTCAAATCGCGTACTGTACTGCATCGTAGACTGTGGAGAATTATTCGAGAGCAAGTGTTACGATTTGGACGATTTTTCTTTGTCTAGTTGGAATTTCTATCGATTCGTGCCCCGTATGCAGTAGCATTCACACGCACAGTACCTTATTGTTTGTGTTTTCTCTTTTACTGTATTGTAGCTGCTCGACGAAGCTGCCTCTGGAACCGTTCAACCCCACGACGCACCCGACACAGAGTACGTTTCTTCATTTTCTGTTTCAAGCCCCGAGCTACGTTCTCCAGCACACCTTCCGTATATACTTTTACGATTATTCAGTCTCTCGAATGTGCGGGGTGTTCTATTTATGGTGGACATCTGAATTAATTTCCATTGTTATCGAAAGTAGGAAAAAATAGCTGAGGAGTTTATGTGGTTTGAAAATGAGTGATGATGGAAGTAAAATTTCCTCGAGGTTGTCTTCAAGATCATTCCGAGGCCACTGACATTTTTTTGCATATTAATACCTGTGACATTACGACCTTAAAATCACCTGAAACAGTGGAAAGAATGTCGATGACCTAAAAATGACCACCGTTCAAAATGATTAGGGAGATTTTTTATCACCACAAGTATGTCTTCAAATCGTATAACCTCCTTTCAGTCATTTCTTCTTACTTTCAATACCAACAGAGATAATTTAGATATTCGTTCTAAATAAAACACCCTGTTCAGTTAGAAGCTTGAAAAACGCTTATTCAGGCAGATTCAACTTCCAATATCCACGCTGCTGTCCACAAGTATTTATCCATCCGCATCTTTTTTACTTCGCTCAGAAATACAGAAAATAGAAAAAAAGAAAGTTATTCTCCCTCTGAAAAATTCTTCAAAAATCGCCAAACAAATGAAAGAAGTGGGTAAATATTTCTGAGTAACAGCGCGTGTTGTGTGCTCTTCGAGTAAAGTACCTTTCTTCTCAACGAGCCCCATGAAAACAAAAAAAGAAAAAGAACAATAGGGAAACCATCAAGTGAACGTGTTACTTTAAACCAATGTTCCAGTGGTGACGATGGCGAACGAACGGTATTGTCTCGGGGATACCGTTTCCTGGGCCGTGTCCTGCGCATCTCGTTGCCTATCCAGGCGTTGATGTTACTGGTCCTCGGCGTCGCCTCACTGGTACCATCCGCCGAAGAAGACTACAGCTGCATGCTGTCGAACAATCTCGCCAGAAGTTTCACACCAATGGTCGTCTATCCGAACGGTCCGCCGCCGATCTAACAATAAAGAAGCCTAATCTCGGACGCGCCGGTTTCGACTACGCGAGCCCTCGGAGAACGTTCTATCGCAACATCCAGAGGAGTCGCGCTAGACGGAAACGCGAGATCGCTCAAGATCTGCGCGCCTATTTCTTAACTAGTCTGTCGTACGGCGATCAATTGATTCCATCGAGCGATCGATAAAAAAGCAAAAGAAACAAACCAGGAGATCCGTGTTTATTTTTTCCTTCTTACGAATCTTCCACGACCAATAACGATAATCGCGCAGAGAATCGAACCCGTGTGAAGAGAGGTTCGATTTTCTTCGCGATTAAACAGAGATAAAGAAGAGAGAGAGAGATACACTCTACTATAGACGACGATTTTTTCACGTGTGATAAGGATACGTTTGTACTCGTGCAATAAATGGTGCACGCGTTCACGGACCAAGAAAGAAAACAGAAGAAAAAGCGATCGTCGCTGTACGACCTAAAAAAAAAGCATCCGTTTACTTACATCGTTCTTGTATAGTTGCGATCTTGGTGCAATACTCGCAAGATACATATTTCCACCCACCCACCCCCCCTCCCTGTTCCTCCCGACGTTTAACGAAACCACTCGAGATGATTTCACCGGCAAGAGAGAAGAACAAAGAGAGACAGAGAGAAGACGGTCCACGAAAAAAAGTAATTCTACGGTCTCTCTCTCTTGCACGGTTTAACGATACACACACGGTAATCGACGGATCTGTTTCCGATTCCGATCTGTTAGCCCGACATTCCATGTAACATTACCGCGTTTGTATTTATACGTACACATTGTAGATATCGTTCCGTTTATGATGACACATGATGATGATTTTAGTTTCCAAACCTTCCCTTGTCCTTCCTCATTCCCCGAATTAACCCCGTACGATTCTTTTTTCGTTCGTCTGTATAGGAGAAGAGAAACGGTGAATGCGTGTGTTGAAATTTTCGAATGAATGAGAGAGTACGAGTGATAATGGATTAATGTCACATGGAATGCGCGATAAAACGTTGACGATTAAATTATATTAACGATTATTAACGATATAACGAATCGCTTGCATTCTGCACACAGAATATATCGCAGTTCCTGCGCGAGAGGAGGCGGTGAAAATTTGAAACGATGTCTGGATCCTTTCGCGTGGGATTCACCGCGTTTTGCGTTAGTACGTAACGAAAACAATATATACATACTTGTTCGACTTTATTTTTTATACGTTGCGTTTATAACTCGAGAGAAGAGTAGAAAGAGAGAGAGAGAGAGAGAAGGAGAGAAATGAGAATTGAAGCGGTTCGATTTAAATCGAGAACGAAACGTCCACTGACCGATAACCTTAGCGCGAGATCGCTAACGCGATAGTCATTGGTGCCGATTCATCGAACGAGATGGTGTTATTTATCGAATTGTTCTTCTTTACGTTGGTTTTTTTTTCTACGGTTCCTTCACAGAGACAGAACAGAGAGAGAATGAAAATATAAAGAAGACTAACGAAAAATACGACGAAATAAAAAGACACACACACACACGTTACATATACATACAGGTACACCTGTCTCATAGTAAACCGGAAATTGCATAATAACGAACGTTACTTGTTGTTAACCCGAACGAAATGTATTTATTTTTTTTTTTCCTATTTTTTTTTTTTTCTTCATTTTCGTCGATCGAACGAGAGGAAACGAACACCCACATTTTTTGAATACGCACAAAAAGGATCACACGAGTTCCACTTTGGAGGTACAAAAGAGAAGAGAAAAAATGCAAAAAAAAAAAGAAATTAAAAGAACGACTGCGTATTTAACGGCCCGCTAGTTTTCGCTTCCTAATTTATCGGTATCTTGCTTGCTGCGCGACCGAGCTTTGTTATGTACTTTTATAAGGACAGAGCTTTCTGAAGGCGGTGTACACCTGTCGATGTAATATAATTATAATAAATTGAAGCGTATACAGAGAGATCCTTGTTTCGTCGTGCATGAAAAAAAAAAAAAGAAACACACCTTTACCCTCGATTAATTCCAACGATTTACTCGAGTTCCAGCCGGTCGCCTGCTAGACTGCACGTTAAGATCGTGAGACGTTTACAGAAAATAAACATCAATCAGGTAGTCTGACAAATCGAAAACATCGCGAGCTTTACGAAGAAATCTCCGCAAACAACGAAATCCCGTTGTCCACAGATATAAAAAGAAAGGCGCTGTAAATATGAACGTTTTATACCTCGGAATCACTGTCACCGGCGGTTCAAACGAGAAGAAAAGAATGTCGCAAAACTGAATACCACTCGTGACTGCATAAAAACGGAGATAATTCAATCGAAATTTGTAAGATCTCTATGCAAGAGCGAGTTTCATTTAGGAACCATTCGAATCGATATACTTGTAGCAACTTTTATTGATCCTTCGATTATCACCTGAATCGCCTTGGTACCACCGAACGCCGGAGCTCTAAACAACAGAACAAACACACGTGCTTCCACCTCGACTCCCATTGCAATTCGACCAGAGACGATTACACACAATGATCCACAGCCGCGATGCGATTTATCGCGAATCTCACGGGCGCCGTGATTATCTTTATCAGTGGCGCCTGAGGAAACTCGGCTGGAAGAGGCTGGCGCGGCTCGAGTCTGCACTATGCTTATGCACCTTGTTGACATTTCGCGCGAAACTTACCCGAGAAGTTCATCATACCTTCGCGCCGCGAGACGAGATTCGACGTTTCGCAACATTGTCGCTAAATCGTCGATTCCTCTTCACCGTCCAATAATTGACAGAGTACTCAACAGTACACGCTTTGAATATCTTTTTCTTTCTATGTTTTTAGAGTCTGAAAGATCCTTCAAGGCTCCGCGAATCTCGTGACGCGTATTTCCGAGAGTTTGCTAAAAGTTAGCAAAATTGAAAGAAAAATATCGTAAAATTCGCACGATAGTTGAAAATTTGCAACGCTTCTCGTGTTGTTTCTACAAAGAGATTTTCATTATGGAATACGGTAAAAATACACTGTTCGTGTTATTTTTAGAGATTTCCAGCGACTTCGTCACTTATCCGAACGATGTAACAGATGGTCAATCAACGACACTCTATTCGATCGATGGAAAAACTCGATTCGTCTCGTGTAATACGTGTCTGTGAGAAGAAAAATGATTTAATACACTGATTGCGTGCCTTGGAACAGCGTTTATATACGCTGTAACAAACAAGCATGCAAATGAATCAGCGTTCGACAGGTGTTTGCACATGTCTGAGTGTCATCGGAATTAAATCAAACGAAGCTGTGTCCGCAGGTGTGACGACAGGCTGCTACGAAATAGGAAAATGCGGCAAAAAGGCCCTGCGGTCTTTTCGCGCAGACGTCTCATTCACGCTGCGTTTAGTGATAACGAAGGCGGCACTTGGCGTCGGAGGAAACGATACTTCGCGTGGGAGGATTTTTGCGGTAATGACAATCGAACGCGGATCGTTCGCGTTCGTCGTCCAGTTCCATTAGCTCCACCGATTCTACCGACGAATCGAAAAACCTCTCGCGATGTCCTCCTCCGTTGACAACACGTCGAACTCGAACGAGAGAAAAGTGAAAAGTTTGAACGATATCCCCGTGGTGTTCGGGAATCACAGTCGAGCCAGGAAGTCCTCGAAAACGTCGAAGGTTTCGTTGGCGGAGCACGAGACGAACGATCGCGTGGAAAAGTTGAACCGTGACAAAAGACACGCGTTCTTCTCGCAGAAGATCATACTGAAACCGGAGGATCGGAAGGAGAGTTTCTTCGACGCGAGAACATTCGCGGAGAGGAACAACAACGGGGATGATAGCGCGAACGACGTGGACGTGAACAAGGAGGAGCAGTTGATAGCTAGTCTGAAGGTAAACGCACACATTGACAGTTCCTGTCAACTTCTCTCGTGTCTTCTTCATTCGTTAGCGAAGTTTCTTCTCGAATCAGATCGATCCGCTGGACGCGAGTAACTGTTTGACCACGCTGTCTCGCGAAGAAGAGATCACGAAGAGAGGTTCACGGATAAGATCGAGGAAACAGAAACTAGTTTTATCGATAATCGACGCTTTCCTCTCGCTTGTAATAATTGCACCGATGACGGTCGGTTTTTGGAGAGGAACATGGACGTTGATGGATATTTATGGGGACATGTGAGTTTGTTTCGTCTAGACACAATCATTGATTAATTGCCGTTCCGATAAGTGATTACGACATGTTCATAAGGCTAGGGGAAACCTTTCGTATCTGTGCACTCGAAGAGAATGATTTTCTTAATAACACGACGGATGATTCATTCGGACAATGAAGTTCAATGATCCAAGGGAACTTGTGAAAGAGAATAATCGAATCTTTTTTTCCATACGATACTCCAAGGTTCCCCGGTGTGGTCACGTTCGGCTTGGGGATTTTGGTGCACACGAGCTTCGCGATATCGAAGAATACGCTCCACGCTCGTGCTATCGACGCGTTGAGAAAGAAAAGTTTGCTGAAGAAAATCTTGTGCAAATGCACGCAAATTTTCTACACGTACGTGTTCGGGGTTGCCTGCAACATGCAGTGGAGGGGCGGCTGGATCATTTTCGACCGTTTCTTCTTGCGAAACGATTGGTGAGATCATTCACGCAGAATTCTCATTCGACGAGCGATTATCGAGAATCGATTCTATTACGGATCCAGCTTTTTTCATACGACAGACGTTAGACAAACACATCGAACAGAACGGTGAAAATGTATATTTCTTCCTGAATTTTCTTCCGATTAAACAGACACACACACACACGGGCACACGCATACAGAAGCGAAGGTAAAGTATAGAGAGTGATTTTTCTTATTTCAACAGAACCACACATGGACCAACGTGTCACTAACCGATGGCTGGATGGCATTCTAAGACGCGACAGGAATAGTCTGTTAATCGTATCTCATATTCCTCTCATTTCTCATGCTAATTCCCCCGCGTTCGTCGTGAACGTTTTTAAACAGAGTGTACGCGTTAAATGTCAGCGTGCAAGTAAAAACTAGTCAATTCAAGGTTGATTTGCATATCGCGTGGGTCAAGTAAAACAAACTAATTAGATATCTTCTCTAACTACAACGATACGAGAAAATTTTTAGGCGCAATTTAAATAGCTTCGAAGGACGAATTTCGAGGACAAATTTTTTTCACGAAAGAAATGAGCAAAAATGAGGTTTCACGTTCGATTAAAAATTTTACAGTCTAAGATCATCTTCAGATCACATTATTACGCATGCGTAAATGCACATCGATGTCTGCTAAAACACACGACAGAAAAATATATATATATATACGTTCGTATAGAGAGACATAGGCGACCTTGAAGAAAAACGCGGAGAAAAGTTGACCTTCCATCTAATTCGTCCTTTAAAACCATTTAAATTACGTATAAAAATTTTCCCGTGCCACCAGAGAGAAATTTTCTTCTCCCTCGACAGTAATTAGGTGGCCTGTTTTACGTGCCCCACCCTGTATAACATAATAGCACGTAACGCGTAACCATTACAGTGTTGAATATGCTAGTCGTGACGGCCATTCTTGCTTCTGAACGATAACCATTTTATCTAACCGTTTTATTTCTACGCTAAAAGTTTTATTAACACTTGCTCAAACGGTAAACGCGTGTTTTTCGTTAATTCTTTCGTTCGATTTACTTTAGGGCGATCATAGGAGCCACCTCGGGAGGATTGGTCACCCTGATGGTCTTTCGTTCCGTTCGGAATCTCATATCGATACCATCGGTGATCGCTGTGGACAAACTGAGCTACGTCTTCCGTTTTCCAACCAGATACAAATCGGTGAGTATCGATGCGAAGAAATTGCATCGTTTCTACACGAAAAGTATGAAGAAGTAGCGACAAAATCTCCGCGAAGAATTTCGATTTATGCTTGGAAGATCGGTGAATCCGATATTCCCCGAAATTTCGCGAATTCTACCGAATCTCACGGATATCTGTACCAGTGCCGACGAGAGAAGTAAATGTTTATCATCGCCAATGCGTTCTATTTATACACACGTTTGCTCGCGACAGAAGCTTTTTATCAATTAGGAAAATCACGAAACCAAATCCGATATCGCTGAAGCGGCTGATTTCCCCGACTTCGCTCGAGACGATCGTTCTCAAATGAGATTCCCGAAGGGAAATCGAATTTTTCACTGATAACATTCCATAAATATATTTCCGACGTTATTTACGAGACCGTTTAAAACAGCCGCAACAATTCCACGTAAACGGAACATTCGTTTTATTACGAGACAACGTAAAATTGTCGAGCGTGGAGAATATGTCCGATTCGATCACATTATGCGAAGAATAATCGATGAACTAATCGACACGATTGATTACAGCGAAACATTCTAACGGAGTGTTTATCGCGTTAGTTTGCCCGTTGGAAGAATTATTAACCCCGTCATAATAAACCTTGTAGTACAACCTCTTGTGATACGGCGAAAGGAACCTGTTGTCAGGCGATCACTGTTATCGCTTTATCTGAACAGGCTCGTTATCTGTTCATTGAAGCCCGTGAACGTGAATCATGGAAATCATGTGTGTTTTTGCGGGACAAAAGCATAGCGGGCGTCACGTGCGCGGATGCACAGCAACTCTATCCTCCCTGAAACGTAAGCTCTATAATTAGAAATTGCACTGATAGCTCGGCAAAAGTTACCGATTGCACCAAAAATCGATATGTAAATTAACGAACGAGAATTCCTCTCTCTCGACACTTGAAAATTCGCAAAAATTCCACGTGATGAAAGACACACACGCACGTAAACGAGCTCAGAATGAGAAATAAGTGAAAAGAGAGAAAAAATTCGTTAAAAATATCGGTATAAAATGTCGAAAGGGTTAAATTTCCTCTTCTTACGTTCGAGCAGCCGCCATTATGGTCCAACGCGTCGAAAGCACCGTCTATGTAGACACGAGGCACGTGGAACGCGCAGAAAACACCAGCAGAAGTGACATCTTCGACCGACAATGGCTGTCGTGACAGAAAAAAAAAAAAAAAAAAAAAAAAAAAAAGAGAAATGACAGGTCAAGGTGAGAAGATGGTCGTAATCCAAGCTTGATTGGTGTACAAAAAGGTGGCGATTAGCGATGCGTTCGGCACGACAAAAGCCCGGCGAGACTGACGGACAGGAAACGCCACTCAGAAAAATGAGGCTTCAAGGTGGCTGCCTCTGAGCTACCTCTCTTCTCTACAAACCTCTTCTCCGGCTACTATCTTGTTTCTTATCAATCAACGCCGGGTTCCGGATTTGTTAATTAGCGCCTGCTTGTCGCGTACGTCGATCACGATTTACGCGGCTGCCCTGATAAACCTCCACCGTACCGCCACAGATTCGAATGAAAATTCTCTCTTTGCCTACCAGTCCGCGATATCGTCTGACCACACTAACGAGCGTTAATTGTGTGCGTGTAAGATACTTGGAATACGTCGTATGAAAAAAATGAAAACAGAAAGTATTCTTTAAATAAAAATCGTGATATCGCGACATTCCAGCGGTAGTCCATTATCGTTACAGACAAAATCACAGAAGTCTTCGATTACGCTTAGAAAAAGCTGGTCGACCTAACGCTAATCTAACTCATGATAGAGTGTGTACGCGTCTGCATAGGGAGAATCATTAAGCAGCCCGTACACTTGACACACGAATGACAAAACTGGGGCCAGACAATGAGCAGATCAATGAACAATAGCCTGAAAAAGGGTGAACCTTGGATGTGTTTCGTTTCTAATGTTTCCAATTAAACGAAACATCCAGTTCGAAAATCTAATCTAAACCGAGACAGAGATGTTGTTCGATTAGAGATTTCCTGGATCGCTGTTTTTTCGCAGTTTCTTCTTAACGAACGATCGTTCGTTGATTGGATTCCTCGTGTTTGTCGAGGTTAAGAGGAAACGTCGGCGAAGGGATGCTGGATGAAGAACACTTTCTTAGATGCACTGGTGGAAAATGAGAGGTGTACTGGTGGGTGTCGAAAGCTCGTTCCCCGCGCTCTCTCTCTCTCTCGTTCATCAAGCGTGCACGTAGCTTTACTGACACATGGGTGGGGGTTGTCAGAGAGATGGAGGAAGGAAGGGAAGAGAGCAGAGAGCACCGTACTATTCTCTATGCCATGGCCCGTGTGACGATGCTGTTCATGATAATGCGATAGTGTTGGTCTGTGCTCAGCACTTGATAAAAGATAGCGGTGACTGAACAGATGCCAGTACTCACCCGCAGCCCGACCTGTCGGTTCACGGTTCTCGCGTACTCTCGCCCCGTGTGCATCGGTGCACCATCATCGTTGACGCACGGTAATACGCTCTAAAACGGTTTGCGAACGAAAGTGAACGGGAAGAGGATAGGGCGAGTTATTTTCACCGAAAGTCCGTCGAATTTTGTCCCTATCGTATCTTCGAATCGCAACGGTTTCGTCGCACTTGTCGATAACTGTTTCGATCGGGAAGCAGAGTATATTCCGTTCAGGTGCGTCGTTTTGTGCTATGACAAGGTTACCAAAAGTCTGAAACATGTCAAGAGAAAGAAGCTACCAGAACTGTCCTCTGTCTGTACCAGTCCGACAAGATCGTTCTCTAAGAAGTTTCGAACAACCAGAGAAAGAGATTCCTTCGATAGGATGATCACTGCGATCCAACGACAATATTACTTTAAGAAGATCCGCTGTAAAGCTTGATCTTGTGGAAAAAGCTGCTCCTCTCGAATCTCGATCGAAGTCGGTAACCATGGCCAGAATAATGCGCGACAGTGTTTCATGCTTGAACATCGACATATACCGGTGAGGAAACCAGAAACACACTTTATCACCGTATCGAGAGAAGAAGATCGTCGAGGAAGCTGCGTGAAATTCCACGGTGAATTTCTTCAACGTCCAGACTCTCAGGATCGTCTCTGGAATCGAGAACTTGAACGAGATCGACAGAAGTGAAGAATCAGCGGGACGAAAAAGGAGAAGCTTTCGGTGTTTGAAGAATGACTGTCTCTTGGTGGAATTGGTCGAAAGCACGGCCTGTAGGCATGCACCACCGAAGAGAGCGTACCACCACAACCTCGAATCATGCATGATGAGCGGTGCGACTAGGCTCGATCAGGATTGGATGAGAATGGTCGAGTTACGCGGTGGCACCGGAATGACGAGCGGGCTGAGCGGTCGGTCATCGAGTCGTCTCCATTATATGATACTCACAATTTTGGACACGGTGTTCTCGGCTACCGTAGCCGCTCCAGCTGTTGTCGGCTACTGGAGAGGTACCTGGGGCTTAAGTGACGTCTACGTCTACCCAGAAGACCCAGTTCTAAGCAGCTTGACCTCGATAGTGATCGGTTTCATAGGGTTGTACGCGTTCAACGTGTCGCAGCACGCTCTCAACGAGTTATTACACCCAGACAAGCACAGACTCTCGTACTATGTCGGATCGAGACTGTACACGGCCGTTTTCGGCTTTTGCTGCGTAAATGCATGGCGTGGTGCATGGCAAGCACTCGATCAGTACACGGAACACACGGCGAGCACAGTATTCGCTACCACCGCTGTCAGCCTGCTCGCACTGGCCATCATGCGCGCCGTAAGGAACATTTCCGCGCCACCGTTCTCCCTTTGCCTGGACTCCTGTCCAGGATACTTCGAAGTGCAGACCATGTTCCGTGTGAACGTAAGTAACAAGAAGTTCGACCGATTGTGAAACGTGGCGCAACACTCGGACAATCACGTTACACGATACAACCTGCGAAATTGAAGAAAAGTGAGAGATAGGGAGAGATCGAGGAAAGGAGAGATTCAGATTCTATTCGAGACTTTTCACGTTACGCCTAGAGAAAAAGCAATGCAAATTAATAGATCTCGGTATGATCGATATCGGTCATTCGGTGGTAATTCAAACACATTCGAGATTACGGAAAATTTTCTATCCCTGCAACGATAACACCGTGTGTATGTACCCTTCTATCTTCCACGATTATCTTCACGTTCTCCGCAATTCCGTTTCACCGACATTACTGTGGGTCACACAAGTGGTCAGGCTAAACGATACTGCCTACCGTAATACAGAATCCCGTGGAAATCTTCTGTATCTTGGGAAAAATCATCGACACAGGAGTTCCTTTGAAACAACGAAACAGACGTGTCATAATATTTGCATTCTTATCGAGACTGACGTAAAAGACGACAAACGTGGGGCCATGCGTGGTACGAGAACGAGAAGTCGCATTTACGTGTCCTCCTTTCTCCGATTTCTTTTTCCCCGAAAAAATCGTCAGAGACGTGGTTTTATCGGAAAGGGGGTAACGTTTTAAATAGGAAACGTAAGAGGTTAGACAGGATGTTTTGACGCATCGATGGAGCTAGAGAGCCGTGCGATGCACGGCATCGATGTGTAAGGTATAAGCACAGTTTCCGGCTGTCTCTCCCGACAGTCGAACAGCATCGCGTCCGTGCAGTTTGCACACACGCACCAGCGCGGCCTGCAACTGCACCAATTTCCACGCTTTCTCCCGATCGAACGATAATCGATGAACGCCCCGCAAACACGAATTTTCCAAAATTTTCCAACACGTCTCTCGATAGTCTTACATCTCGGAACAAGTGTATTGCGAAGCTTTTCGAATGGAATGAAAATTAGAAACTATGTACATCTGAGAATTTCATGGCTCCTTTGATATTGTAATTTAAAAATGAAATTCTGATAGTTGATTGTATGAATTTTGAAAATATTCGTAATGTAGTTTAAGGGTATTTTTTGATTCACTAATATTTTCATTCTTCATGGATATCGAGAGATAGTTTGTCGAAGACGATGAAAAAAGGGAGACAGTGGAACGATCTTAAATTAATTACCGCCGCTTCAATCCTCTCTTGTATCACTTAAAAATCGAGGACAGAAGGGTGATACACTCTGATGAAAGTTTACCGAATAAATGGTATGCCAATCGGAAGGTCCTCTCTCGTTTGCATCGCCAAAATCGACGATCCTCGTGGAAACCAATGATTCGAAGGAAGTCCTCGAGTAGGAAAACAGTCTGACTGGAAAGTTTGTCGAGTTGAACGATCGAGTTACACACTGCCTCGTCTTTTTTTCCTCTTCTTTTCCGAGTATTCAGATTGACATTTTTTTTTTTTTCATCTATCGTCTTCCACAATTTTCACTTCTCGCAATACTGCGGTGTCATCGCAGTATCCCCCATCCCTTCGACACGCCAGCAATTTAATGTTCAATGAATCAGTGAATTTAGGGAAGCGTGAATTAGCGATCTACGCGAAAAAAAAAAAGAGAACGTAGGCTAATACCAACGACGCAACGAAAGCAGATCGAGGAGAACGAAATCGCGTCTTCTACCTTGATCGTTGCCTAATCTTATCACGATATCGGGAACGAGGTTTGAATAATTTCTGCAAAGATTAAACAGAGTTCGTCGAATGTTCGAAAATATTGAAAATTCCCCGTGATGATCGATCTTTTTTTTTTTTTTTCGTAACACGATTAGATAGGTATCGTTTGGAAATTAACGTTACAAACTTCCGTAACGACGAACGTCGCGTTATCGCTGTATAAATTTACATTTATTAAAAGATAATTCGTATACTCTCTACTATAGTTCGATCTGAAAACTTCGCAACTATATCTAAGGGTATACTACCGAGCGTTGCTTCTCTTCTAAATAATCTTCAAACGTAAACGATGCACGAGTGACAGTGTTGTTTATCCTAAGATTCCCGCGCCTCTTCAAATACTTCCCGATTTTTCACTTGCTAGAGAAGCTTATCTATTGTTTATGCTATTTGATTACAGAACACGAGGGACTGGTCGTTGTACTTATTGGACTGTGCCTTCAGCGTCGGAGTGGTCGGTACGCTGGTCGTGTTCGTTTGGAGAGGCGTTTGGATACTACTTGATATCTACCTGTTCCCGGAAGATCGAGAGTATTCCGCGATCGGATCCCTCGTAAGTATCGATACGTAGATCTGAGGCTTTCACAGTCGTTCACTATGGGATCGGGACCTTCGCATAACGAACTTATAGGAGGAAGAAGAAGGAGTAATTGAGGGGGCGCGTTGGCGGAGCGCGCTAAGTCCTGGCTTGTCAATCCGAAGGTCGTGGGTTCGATTCTCGGTTCGAGTCCTTCAAATTTTTCTTCGACTTTTAATATTGTTGTTGAGATTTTTCCGGGTTTGTTTAAAGAGACTGTGCCTTCTATGGAAGAAATGTTGCAATGATTTTCTTCGTTGATCGTTGTAGATCATCGTCAGGGTTCGAATGACTTAGCTTCAATTAAGAGTAGTGCAATGACTGTTGTATCCCCTCAAAATACCCTCAAATAAACCCTCAAAATACATCAAATGATAAATGAAGTTTCTAATAGAAAATTCTAATTGAAGAATCACCTCGATTCAATCTCCCCTCAAAAAAAAAAAAAAAAAAAAATCAAATTTCATCTGGATGTATATCACGGTTATTGTATACCGTTTGTAGATTTGGTGAGAACTATAATATCAATTGGCCTGAGAAATCACGAAACCGGGATGAAACTTCCGATAAGACAGTTTCCTATCGATGAACGCGTGTCATCGGGTGTCATTAGCAATCACGTGTTGAACGACATTTTGAAACGTGCCACCTACGCGCAGCGCGGCGAGCGGCACGCCGTTGGTCCGATTGTATAATTGAATATTCGCCAATTGTATGATTGCGAGGGCACATGACAAAACTGTCGATGCGCGTGTATGTGTGTGCATGCGCGGGACACTTTATTGCGGGCTGTGGACGTTTACTTGTTTGAATACGACGCGGCGAAAACGCGGTCAACGAGAAGATTTGTTTAATTTTTCAATAATCACGATCGTTGAACTCCCCGAGTCAGGGAGACAACAGAACATACGTTTTCATCATCGTCGAAACGTGTCACCGTAAAGAAAATCTCTCGATCACGACGCGTGCCACCTCTCCGGAAGGATCTATCTTTCGTCGCGTCGCGTCGCGTCGATCGATTTCCCGCCACGTTCAACGCCGTTTTCCCGCGCCGATGATCGAGGAGAGAAAAACGGTTCGACAAACACAGATGAGCCCGCGCAAATATTTCGACATTGCGAACTTAAGCCGGTGCAACCCGTTGGAATGATTCGGTTGCAAAACGGTACTCCGTTGGCGCCACGTATCCTCACCCGACAACAATAACATTCGCGTTGCGATTTTTTGATCCCCCCACGGATGAGAAAAGGAAAATAAAGAACGGCGACTCGTTCGAAGACGATTCGACGCGACGAACGTCTGGACGATGAGAACGATAAGATTCGTCTAGGAATCGGGTAACCGTGCAGAACCGATTTACGGTACGAATTCGTTATCAGGGATCAACGATCCGCAGGGTACAACAGAGAACCGCGGATTAAACGGCTGTCTTGGCGGGATTTATCGCGATCGAACGTGATTCCGTACGACTTGTCGATTTCGATAAGTTCGGGCGCCAGTTGGAAATCCGTTTTGGTACGGTAAACAAATTTCACAACGCCAGTCTTCCTCCTTTTTCTCCCTCCAGACGATAGGCTGGATTTATCGGCGGTTTTCGCGCGAATTATCGAGAATTCGAAATTTATTTTTTTCATTTGTTCGATGTTCCTCGAATTTCGTGATTCCTCTGACTGGGACTATTTCGAATGGAAACGTACGCTGGGAAGTTAATTAAAACGGGATGATAAATCGTGTCGTATTTATAGACGTTTAACTCAGCCGTTTAAAATGCAAAGATAAAGGTAGATCATTGTTGTTTAAAAAACGCTTAAGTACGATCGCTGATAACACCACGGTAGTGTTTACTCGACGATATTAGATATCGTTTCACGAATGATTCAATGAACCTTCTCCGGTGATCGTTGAACGTAAATTGGAAATAAGCAGCGTTTCGTTCGAGGATCCCCGAAGGAAAAATGGTAGGAGAGATTTGTGAAAAATGTTTGGAGTCCTTAACGAGAAATTCAGCCGATATACAGTTTTGCACGGTGAACGCGATAACGTAAATTCTCAAGAGGGTCGATGATTGCGCGAGGGTCGTCCAATTCACTCATTTACTCGCTCGCAATGCCGCTTCGAAACCGTGAAACAGCGACCGACGATTTGTCGCCGGCTGATTCGTTGGAACCTCTCCGATCCGACGTCATCAACGACACTAAGCTCTTTTTTCTCCCGTTCCCGTCAAACGAATCAAAACCAGACAGATCATCCGCCGTATCCTTCTTCCAATCTGTCAAACGACGAATCCCGCTTTTTTTTTTCGAAGAAAAAAACAGAGAGGGAAAGGCGAGAAAATAGGCAGGACGAAACGAAGAGAAGAAAGAAAGATAAGAAAGAAGAACACGTTCTCTTTATCGTACAATTTTCTCATCTAAAGTCTGAACCGTTCTAATCAAGGATACGATGAAATTGATCCTAAAATGAATTATTCGTAACTGCCGGTAATTCTCTCTCTCGTTGCAACGATCGGTACGTATCATATTTGAACAATAAACACGTTCAATTGCAGGCGATCGGATACGTGATAGTGACGGTGACGTTCTCTCTGCAACCATTGATGCGCTATGTCTGCGCTCGTCTTCAAGGCTTGGCCCGTCTGATAGCCGCCGATGGTTTCCTCCTGCTCAGCTTCCTCGGCACTGTGAACGTATGGCGTGGCATTTGGAACGTGTTGGATCTATGGCTGGTCCCGGATAATCCGGAACTCTCCTGCTGGATCACACATATCGGATGTTTCGTGTTCCTCGTACTTCTCAATTGCAGCAACTCGATCCTCGTGCGTGGCATTTACATCGACGCCGAGGAGGACGACGGCAAATGCGTCGTATTCCCTTGCCATTATCTTCGATTGTTCTTCAAGGTTGGTCTTCCTACCGTTTCTCTTCTTATATTAAATTATCCACGATTTTCTCATTATTCCTAAGTTATTCGACGGAACGAATATGTAGAACGAATTGAGAGAGAAAGAGAGAGATTGTAAAACGACGAACGTGTTTTGTTATCCCTCGTAGGTCGAACGCGAGAAGAAGGAAGCGAGACGACGAAATCTGCTGGTAGCCTCGAAGGACTTCCGGCCACGGCCAGACGGAAACGCGAAAGACACGGAGAACGGAGCACTCCTACCGAACAGCACCGCCACGACCATACTACCCACCAACCCTGAATCTCTCGTCTAACACGCGAACGTCAAGGAAATCAGAAAGAGACTCTCCCCGAGGATTCGACTGAATTCTCACCACCGACCGATCGATCGATCGTCGCGACACCGTCGAGTAGCAATACAAACCACGAGGACGAAAGTAATATTTAAAGGAAAGAAAAGAGAGAAAAAACGGAAAAAAGAAAATTACAAAATCACGCGGAGAACTGGCAGCTTCTGAAAGTGAAATCAGAAGATCCCCCCCTGGCTCACAGTGATCGTGCAGTGAAGTTCGAGCCGTGAACAATTCTTTCAAACGGACACATTTTGCGACGACGCGAAGACGCTTCGTGTCGAAGTTGTAGAAAAAGAGGGAAAAGGCGGAAAGAAAAGACGGGGGAACGTTTGTAAGGTAAATCTGAACGAGGGCGGAGGACACGTTAGACACGACGGGACCAAGCACGACAAATAGCCGCGTAGATCGACAGATAGAGACATTAGTAGGGTAGAAACGCGCAAAGTTAGGCGCTTAGGATACGCATGATTTTTTTGCAAATTAGAGACGGACAGGTGTAGAGAGCGACGGAACGAAGGATCGTCGAGAGAGATGGGAAAGAAGAGATCGATACCGGGTGGCTTCCGATTGGCAACGTTCTTCTTCCGACGAGAGAAATTCAGTGAATGGCTGTGAACGAGTGACGATATTGTAAAACGCGTCTCTCTCTCTCTACAATAAAGGGACCGTGTCTACGAACAATCGAACATACTCGTAATTGTGTTTTGTCGATCGTGTTTCGAGAGTGCGATAGTGCATCCGGATCGATGAGGATCACCGCAAATCAGGGAGGAACTTGCTACGTCCACGCACAACCGTGTGTTTAATGTAAGTTTGTACGCGAATGGAGGATAAGCAATTGTGTACACACACACACACACATGTACACGTGCGCGTCGCGATTACGCGACACATTCTGTTCGTTTTATTCGGTGTAATGTGCCGCGGGACGAATCCGTGCGCTTTGATTCGTGCTTTGGTTCGTACGGAAGAAGAATCGAAACGTTTGCTCGTTTGGATACTACAATAACTCTCCTCCCCCCCCCCCAACCCCGGTGAAACCTCGTGTACCAAATATACCAGATTTCTTCTCGACGATCGAAGCAAGAAAAGAAAAAAGAAATTCGTTGAAATAATCCTGAATAGTGAAAGAATTCATCGCAAACAGACTGTTTCGTCGCATCGAAGAATTGCAATTGCGAAATGTCGCGATGAAAATAATCGTTCGTCAGCATCGATCCCGTAGGGCTTCTTCTAGTCATCGAATACGTTTTAGCCGCCGCTTTCATCGTCGATAACCTATCGGTCGAGCATTATCGAACTTATCTCTCTCTCTCTCTGTCTTTCTATCTTTCTCAGTTCTCTTCTTTTCTTCCGCGACCACCCACGATCACCGAGAAAAAAGGAAAAAACCGAAAAAAAAGAAGCGTACACTCGCGATCCTAGAGGTTAGATGAGACCTTGATGATGACAATGGTAATAGACTGGACACGATCATTATAAATGGGTTATAACCTTCTCCCCCGCATCCTGTACACCCCGCAGATTTTGCTCTTGTACATCAATTACGACGTCATGGCGTACTAATAATTAATTAACTGGAATAATGACGGGACAATGGGCGGCTGGCACATCGATGGGAAGTGGCTAGTTCGACGATGAGCGGCCGCCCTCCTGGCCTACATTTAATATTTTCACAATGAACAATGTGCCAGCCGAGTCGCGCCGGAAGTGTTTCCCTGCGGCGCGACGCGGAAAATCGGAATCGATCGTGGAACCAACGAAATCCGACCGTTTTTATTCAGAGGCGAGAACAACTCGCCTAAGTCGACAGGCTGTCTCACGTGCGACAGACTCGACGATAACTCGATATACACCACCCCGTGACAAATAGATAGCACAGACACAAACCCCCGTTTTCGTCATTTCCACGGCGATAAGTCGATCCATTGTTTCATCTTCCCCAAGCGTTTCGTTGTAATCGCTGAGAAGCGTACGTACCGTACGATTTGAATGGAGAAGAAATGAAAATCGATATGACAAAAAGATAGCACGTGTAATTGAGATAAATTGTTGTAAATATATGTATGTGAAAAATTATTTTCAATTATTGTTTAAATATATCCGAAGTGATTTGTATCATTTTTTTTTTTTTGCTATACTTTTCACGGATTTCTGCATCTACACAGATTTTTTCAAACTTCCTTCCTTTATTCGTACGCAGTTCTTGGCAATCTCGCGACTAAGAATTTTCTAAGAGAAGATCTCCCTGGCCCATTGTAAAATGCATTGTCCTTGCTGAATTGCGAAATTAACCTTGCGAATTTCTTTATCGGTGAATCTACTAATTCAACATAACCTGGACTATTCGATCTTTTATCTATAAGCGTTATTTCAATTCCAGCCTGAGTCGTGATCTTCCTTCGCCCATTCTTCATCTGTGAACATAATTTTCCACCGTTTCTTGGTAAACGAGCCTCTTCGTACTCAGATTTACCGTCTAAATTGCGATCGTCGTTGAATAACACGTTACTTCGTATTTCGACGTAACAGCGCATCTTCCACGAGAATCTGTTTCTTCTCGCCGTATTCTCCCCGATTTTGTCGATAAACTGTAAACAACTTTACGGTTCCGATGTATGATCCGTGAAATTTGTCTTCCCTCGGTATCATCGTTGTCCGTGTTATCAGCCAATCAACGTTTTTCCATGGAACGCGTTGTTTTCAGAAAAACACAAACAGGACAGCAATAAATACACGATTTAACGATACTCGCGGTTCGAACGGCGTAGCAATTGCAAATGGAAATTCTGAAATTGTGCTATCGTTGTTCCTACCTCGGTATCCAAACTTCCGACGAAGTACGCGAGTAATCTTTGAAAATTAACGTATCAAGCGAAAAATGTTACAGCTTCGTTACACGTATGTATTAACGATATTTCAAAGTATGCTACCTTTTCGTCACGGAGCGTGTGTATACACTCGTAACACGCGGACTTTTGCCACGGAACATTGATTGAAATAAAAGAAAAAAAAAAAAAAGAAACGAACCAACCTGATAAATGAATATATTAACGGCTATTACCGCGACGAACGTTCGCACACATTGAAATTACCAATCCTGTTCGTTATTTTCCCTCCCTCGACACGCGCCAGTGCAATCTCAGAGCGGCGAAAATTCGGTGGAGAAAAGAGGTGAACGAATAAGGCGAGAAACGTGATCGAGTACGATTTCTACCCTCAAGGATAGAACGACGCGTAGACGAATAAACGCGAAGGGCGATTTAAAAATACGTATACGAGAAAGGGTGTCGAGAACGGGCGTGTTCTCGCGGGAATCTCGTACGTCGAAGGACGTGATACGGCGGAGTGTAGCAAAACTGTAATCGTCGATCGATTCACGATCGATCGCAATTGGATTCTTACACGCTAGAGTGGGGATGATCTATTTGAGGCGCCGCGACGCCGTGGTGCAATGATTAGAATCAGTCGGTAGGTCGTATCACGGCGAAAGGTGAAGAGTGTGCCGTCAGAGAGAACGAAGGAGTTCGAAGGCGAACAGCGGTGCGTGTCTCTGACCAAGTCCTGAACGAAAAGAAACGAAAAAATCGAGACGAAAAATAAAAAAGGAAACGTGTGGAACGCTTTTTCTCTCTCCCTCTCTCTCTCTCTCTCTCTCTCTCTCTCTCTTCCACGAATCGAGGAAAAGTGTGAACAGGGTGTTGATAAAGGTGACCGTATTTCGTATATCCGGCTGGTAGAATGGCAACGGACGACCCTCTCCGCAATGAACCTTTAGTTTCCGTTGAGTTCGAGGTCTTTGGCAAAGTGCAGGGTAAGGGTGTGCAGTTTTTACGGACCCCATCGGGTATTTCAATTGTATAGAATCGAGTCGAGAGAAAAGGAACGAACATCTTTCACGTTTCGCCGAGCAAATTCACGGATTCGCGGATATAGAGCCTCTAATAGAGAAGATCAAGGTCGGGGGAAATGACATACGTTCGTGGGTTGGTGTTACTGTGAAACGTTGGAAAATATCGCGAAACGACGAATACGACCGGGGACGTTGAAAGTGGTAAGATGAATTTGGTAAATCGATCGATTTTCTCTCTCTCTCTTTTCAATCGAAATTTCAAGGCACACGACGAACTGGTGAGAAACTTTCTTTCCATTCTTCGACTCGACTCGAGAAGAATTCGGTCGGAAAAACGACACTGTGATATTTTTTCTGGAAATAACGTCGCGTAACTTATCCGGTTTCTTACGGGCTTCAGATTAGATCCACGAACGATCATCTGTTTCGCGGAATCTGTGATTCGGTCGACGGACACTGTAGAGTAGAGGAACGTGTAATTGACATTTCGTTTACGTCTCTGCGTGACAGCGTAACGAACGAACGGAAACACGGTGATTCGTAACGTGAATGGCGATGTGTGATCGCGAGATTGGTAATGTCCGACGAATTTTCCAGGTGTATACTTTCCGAAGTACGTGAAAGACATATGCCTGCAATTGGGAATATGCGGCTGGGTGAAGAACACGAAATCCGGCACGATACTAGGAAAAATGCAGGGGCCACGTGCGCTCATCGATCAGATGTGAGTTGCGAATATCTCTTCGGCGTAAAAGACGACCTGTTCTTTGTTTTCTCTTCTTTTTCTCTGTGAAAATTATCCGTCCCTCTGGTTGCCAAGAGACAAATTTCCAAACGAACATCGATCCTCCGTCCTGCCGCGTTTCTTCTTTTTCTCTCTCCTCTTTCTTCTTCCTTCGGCCTTGTCACGAACAAACTACAATCCTTTTTCTTTTCTCATTCCGAAAAGCTTGATTCCATTCAAACTTTCCCCCTACCGCCGTTTGTTCGTCCCGCCGTTCTTCAAACCGTTCCCACTTTACCACGGGTTCTCTCTCCTCTCCATCGTTCCGCGAATTCATGACACGTGCGCGCTAACGTAAGCCCACGAATTCAGTGCTCCCTTAAAATCGCGTGACCTTAGTCGGAAATTGCCGAGTAACGACCATTAGGCAGTTGGACCTGACTTTAATAATGATCTAATGAAATAATAGCGCGGACCGCGTCGTCTCTTTCCTTCGCGAGTTATCGCCGAATCGGCGCGCCGACTGCTTTCCGCACGGCTCTAACGCAACGAGCTGGCGTTTGTACGCGGACGATCTGTTCGCCGAATAACGCGGTCTTCTGGGCGTTAGAAAAACGAAAGAAAAGACAGAAAAAAACAGACACGTGGCGGATAAGTTAGGAGGACAGATACAACAACAAAATTGTTGACAGATAGCACGGAACTTTGTAGCGACGCTAAACATCCTTGGAGCTGGACCAAGGAGGAAATGTAAATAATTGTTTTCTCCTTCCTTCGTGTCTTTCTACGCGTCGTTCGTTAATCTCACTCGACCGAGATTATCGATACCATAACCGACACCGTTTCTTCTTTTTTCTTCATTTACCGTTCGTACGAACGGAACGAAGCAGTTCCTTTTCTTTTTTGGCGAAACTGTACCGAACCGTCCTGTAGAAATTGTACTGAACGGTGATATACATACGTACGTACTATTGTTCCGTCGTAAGATAAGCTCTGAGTAGGGACGAAAGCAGAGCGGGCGAATTCTTCTGAAGGAACGACAGAGAAAAGAATAAGATGAGAAGGATGTAATCGTTATTTAGAGAAGTGAGCCAGACCTACTGATCCATATATTTTGCCAAATGCGTACAGAGAGAAGAAACGATGCTAGGAAAGACGAATTATTTCACACCGTGTGTGATACCACACCGCTTGTAACGAATAAATATAAACTGACGGGGCGGACGTATGCAAGACGTGTTTCTCGCCGGTCGGATTTGCCGTTGTTCGTGAACCTGAAGTGAAAGAAAATAACTCGGTCGAGGACGAAACATCGATTTCTGGCTTCACCCCAGAAGGAAATCGTTCAGCCTGAACTTCGTTTTCAATTCGTTACCTTTCCTTCGTGTATATATTTACCTCGCCTAAATCTTATTTTAAGTAACAAGCAAAGAGACACGAAGCACTTATTTCTTCTTCTCTCTCAATTTCTTTTCTATTGCGTTACAAGTCTCTAGAAATACGTTCGGTTTTTACAGGAAGATCGTCGTCGATTCCAAAGTAACGTAAAGTTTATCGATAATACGACCGAAACTTGAAACTGTACACCGTCGTTCGTGTAATTTTTGGAAATGATTCCGTGTTTGCCGAAAGGAAATACGAGCGCTGCCGCGCCGGTCGGAAACGTGGATCCTGAATTCGGAATATCGGAGACGATAAATCAGATCAACCGATACATCGATAGTTGGTCCGTGTTGTTGTCGTGAGACAGCTGATCGACTTTAATGATCCTACTTCTACAGAGCCGCTTAAAATATCTGAACTCGGTCTGATTAGCCGCTAATTATAATTGCGAAACGTGCGAAACCACACAGTCGTGACCGTCTGAGGATAGATGCGCGTGCATAAATCGCACAGTGAACTGATCGTTATTTCGCGATCGATAGAAGTTTTACGTGATTTTTCCATTCAACAATAATCCGTTTCGTATCGTTCGTTAAGGTTAAAAAGTATGAGAAAATTTCACGAATCGAAGATTCCATAGGAAGGACATGCGGAGGTAACAGGATAGTGATTTCGATGCGTGTAGAAGACAGATAATTTCAAGATAATATTAGCAAATATTTAAAATCAAAAAGGAAAGGAAAAAAAGACTGGTACGCGATAATATTACACAGGATGTAAAATTTTCACAAAATGACTGTATATGTAAACGAATAACTTTCGTAATAGAAAATTACAGAGCAGACGATGTGATAGTTTTCGGAAGACAATAATCGCGTAGTAATAAAGTTGCGATATAGTTGCAGAATATGTAAGTATAATTGAACTATTAATAGAAATCGGAAAAAAAGGTTGGAAAATTTATTCGAGTTCTAAATGAAGAACACGTGTGTTGTATGCGAGTGATTTTTATTAGTACATTATGTGGACCGGTAAAAAAGTTGAAAAGTAGCCAAGATAGTCACATGGTTGACTAAATGTTAAACAGAAGAAGATTCATATGTACCTTATAATAGCTCAAACGATAATTTATGATTAAATTATAAAACATGTCAAATAAACATATCGCTTCGCTTTTGAACTATGATCGGATTTCTTATTTCAGGGCAGAGTGGCTAACGAAAGTTGGAAGTCCAGGTAGTGAGATTCATCACTGTGAACTTACGAATTGGGAAGGGATTAGTAGGTTACAATATAAAGGATTTGCTATACGTTTCTAATTAAATGACATCTTAGGAACGTCGTGTTTCTTCGGAAGAGGGATTGATAAAATGTGTTTCGAAGACACGGTACGAATACATTTTAAACAATTGAAGAATAACCATAATTAAATTATGTTTCATGAAAGAACTGTTGAAATCTTTCAAATTATACATAGGTTAAAAGTTGTACAACATTAATACGTGCAAATTACAAATTACTTTAATACCTGTAAGATGTAATAGTATTTATTCATTTTTAACGAGAAGCAAATTAAATAATAATATATGTATAGAATTATAGAATTTTTGTTCTTTAAGTTATCAAGTGCAACATACATATAAACATACATGCATATTTATCGAAACACAGCGAATTAAAAACAAAAATCAAAGCACAGACGAATTTATTGAACTTATTCTTTACTACAAATTAATTCTATTTAAATGTCTGAACATCATGTTGTTCCCTCATAGATAAACACCGCATCCAACATTAATTGCGTAAGATGATAGTCAGAGTGAGTTTCAGGTAAATGTCTGGAAACTCGTCGTATCAATTCAATGGTATCATCGTTTGAACAATTTGTACAAATTACTTCCGGTACATTCTATAAGAAAAAAAATTAATCTTGTTTGCAACAATGCTTTAAAGCAAAAAAAAAATGTTCAAGATCAATTTTATAACACGCATAGTTCTTACAAGACTTTCCAAGTATTTGGTAAGTGCAGGATTTATGCGAGAAACTTCCTCCAGAAGATCAGGTGTTTTTGAAAGATATGCCATCATCCTTCGTCCAGCAATCGGCAGAAGATTCTCTGCTAATTTTTCAACATCGTTCACTGCGGTAACAACCTGTTCCAAAATGTTCGATATATTTTTACGTAATGTAATATTGTTAAATGCATTAAATTATAGTTTTAATAACATACTTCTTCTGCTAATCGATCAAAACCATTAACATAAAATTGACAAACTTGATGTATCCTTAACTCGTCGTTATTAACTTTCCAAATAGATGCTAATGTTTGACATCTGCTCATCCATTGAATAGCTTGCGGCGTTGAACTGATCATTTTATCATCTGTTGTTTCTTGATGGATAAAATCCATCGATGCAGTAATTATTCGGCACAGAAACTTGGTTCTAAGACTGTCTCTCTTATCATCTCTGTACCAGGTAAGCATTACTTTATCTGTCATTGTTTGAAAAAAATATGGTTGCACCTATATATTTAGAATTGATTACGTGTAAAAATTGAAAAACATAGATTTAAATTTATTCAATACTTTTGCTTTACTCACCACAGACTCAAATAAATTGTTTAATGGTTTCGTTATTTTTATATTAAAATGTGCCATCATGTACAACACATTCGCCAGCTGTACATGTAAAATTACTAAATCATACCACGCAGGTGCTTGAGAAATAGCTAAAACAGCAAATGGTTGTGGACCAGATGTGCATCCTTCCCACAATTCTTCTGATTTTATTAAACTACTCTCCCCCGCTTCGAGCACTTCAGACTACATTAACATAACATAATATAACATAAAATAATAATGTAACAAAAAACATACTAGTATAGCTTCGGTTGATTTTATATTACACAGTGTAATGATCTATTAAAAACATACATCGATGAATGTTTCTAAAAACGTAACACAACTCTGCAAAAACGCAACCGTTTGTACATCAGATAAGCCAACTTCTTGTATACACAATCTCTCCTTTGGTAGTCTTCCAAGCTTGTTGATTAATTTTGCTACTGCTTCCATTCGTTTCTTTATATGAACCGACCATAGTAAACAACAAACACCTTATAAAAAATAAAATTTCACTTATAGAGTAATAATGAAAATATATCATTTTGAAAATGAGTAAATTCTAAATCACTCACCATGTCTCATATGTTTCATTGGTATTTGTTGTAAAACAGATAATGCAGCTTCGAGAGATTTCAATTGCGAAATATCTTTATTCCATGACATTGCAAACTCCCAACATATATTAGCTAGTAATACACTACTACTTAAACTATGTGGAAAATGACGTTTTAATAACTTAATCCTTTCTGAAAATGCAGAAGAAAACATATGATAGAATCTGAAAATTAAACGATAATTAAGAACCATCGATGAAAGAGAATACTATACCTAAAATACATGTACCGATATTTGTGTCATTTTTATCTTCACTTTTCATTTCAACAGGTACTGAAATAGACTTCTCTAAATCACACAACTGTTCTAATTGTGAAACATCACCCACGTGTCGAGTTTCGTCTAAAGAATTTGGTATTTCTAAACAATGACTTGTTAACTGTGTATTATCGAATTCAGTGTCTGTTGTATCTACTAGTTGAGTAGGATCAATACCCGTGGAAGCAATCCATTTCGCAACTATCTCTGATACAGAACCTAATTACATTTAAATTACAATTAAAAGTTGCATCACGTGAAGGTACAATTATATGTGATTATAACCAAATTATACCTTTTCCTTTTGAGAGAACAGATCCTAAAGAAATGTCAAATTTTACAAATGGCAGTGCAAAAAATTGCATTGTACTATCTGATGGAGGCTGTTGACTGAAATTATAGTTTTATAAGAATTCTGAGATTTTTCATCAACAACAAATTCCGTTACTAATTACCTTACAATAGCATCTAAAATTGCAATATCCTCAAGACTTCCAATAAGCAACGTAAATTGATAATTGTCTTTATTAACATTTTCCCATTCACTTGCTATATTATACACTTCGTCGTCTAATTTTGAATTGCTAACGCCATCTCGATACTGCTTTGCTTTTTTCAAATCATTCTCATTTTTAATGTCTATCTTTTCATGATCGTTATTATCTTGAATTTTGTTACTACACTTTTCCTTATACTTTTCTACAGACAATGCAACAGCTCTGCACATTAAAGCAGCACTAAGTGCGTTAAATGGGTTCGTTGAATACAAAAGAATATTACGAACCTTCTTCCACCATAAAGATATTTCATTATATTCTGCACATATCTCTTCAATATCTACGAATAATAATGTGAATAATAAAATTCGTTTTGTAAAAACAAATAGGCTTGTTAAGAAATAAATTTACGACTTACTAGCTATTGAACAAATAGCATTTAAAAGGTGTGTAAATTGTTTTAGTTCTACTTCCAGGTATATGTCTCTCCTTTTATTAAGCCAGTAAATTAAAGCAAATTCCATGAGAACAAATGGTTGTATATTGCTTTCCATAGCAGCTTCTTTCCATGCTTTAATTCTGTCACATGAATACACACATCCTTCGTACATTAGCTGAGCTAAATATGTTAGGAAAGCATTTAATTGTGTACAACACATATAATATATATTTAAAATCTTATGTCAAAATACTTACAAATATGATATTTCTTCTCTGGTTTTATATCCTTTTTAATGTCTATAAATCCCGGTGTTCCAAATTCAAAGCAAGACAAGAAATCTAAGAAAATTTTTCCATCTTCTTTAAACTTTACTTTACATTCTGTTACAAAAACTGAACATTGGTAACTATTTATTTTATTAAACAAATCCAAAACTCTGTGTATTTCCCTTTCAGAAGTTAATAAGCTCAAAGCCAAGCTTTTGCTACTGAGATAACTATCGTTATCACTTATAGAAGAACTATTATCTGCTGATGCATCAAATTGAGTTTTAATATATTTATAAAATTTAATTACTTGTTGCAACTGCGTTGTCAATAAATAAAGCGCTTTTGCTGTAGGTTCCATGTCTTCTTTTTCTATAAAATAAAATTCCTATACTTACTACTTCAAATAATACTTACATACAGCAATTAATAATTTAAAAAATACATGTGTATATGTATATGTATATATACCATATTCATCTAGTTTTTTAATGAAACAATTTGCAGCTGTGAGTAAAGCATCAGGTGAAATATTTTTATTTGACATTAACATTTCTATTATTTGTACTTTTATTTCATTAGTTTTCAAATCTGAGCACACATTCTCAATTTCTGACATTAACTTCTCATATTCAAATTCTTCTTCTCTTAAAAAAGTTTTTAATTTTTTAAGAAGATGTATATCACGTGCTCTTTTCCCATTTTTACTATTAAGAGCAAAATGAAATGGTACTGTAATTTCTTTTAAACCACCAAGTGGATCCATAAAAACACATGAATATTGTGGTTTATTTTTTGATAGGTATACATTATCATTTACACCAAGAAGTCCATAATTGATATAAAGCAATCTGCGTGATAATATACAAATTAACCCAACCGTTTTATATAAATAAAATCGTACAAAAACAAATATTGCGCACCTCCCATGTTTACTAGCAGTAAATGTAGTAATTTTAGGGCCTTGTTGCGTACTCCATATATCTATTACACCCTTCTTTGGAGCATAAATGACTAAAAACAAAGCAGAACGTAGTTGCACATTTTGTTTAAATTTAGTAAATGCCTTGTGCATTCCAGAATGTTTCTCTTCCTCCACTTCAATCCATCCACATTGAGCATCTCTATATCCTTTCCACATTCTCATAGCAATACCACATCTATTATCTACTAATAATACTCTACCCATTGCATCTAATATTACTGATAATGCTTTATTTGGACTGGATATTATTGAATAACCCTCTCTTGTAACATCACTTAATCCAAACCTGCAAATCATTGGTTCAACTGGTTCATGAGCATTAGTTTTTGATGCTTCAAGTGATGTCTGATGTTTTGTATTGCCCCAATTGATAGGAAACCAACTAAAAAGCAAATATATAACTTTAAAATTCAGTACCTTAAATACAATTCTCTTCCAAATAATGCAACTTTTAACAATAAATGCATGACATAAATTAATTATGCAATACTCACGGAACAGCAGTCCCAATGGCATTTGCTAATTTACTAGCCATTGCTATAGCAACATCTGAAAGAACTGGAGCTGAACCACCTTCTAATACATAATGAAATCCAACAAATGGTCGTTTACCAGTTGCAATAACTAGATTATGTTGTGGTGCACTAGATCTGTAAGATGCATTATATCCACCACTAATTGAAGCTGTCATTAAATGATTAAAACTATTTACAGAAGTAGTGCCAATTACTTCTGAATCATTTACAATATCTTGACTTTTATAGCCCCATTTTTTACATGATAAATTTGTAACTGGTGGTACATCATCACAGTTTGCTTGAACTGCAATTAGGAAGAATTATTGTTGCTATCAAATGTACGTAAACACAAATTTTTATAGTATCAGCTTCATTCCTGTACCTCTAGCTAAATGATTTCTACATGCTCGTAATGTGGAAAATAGAGAAAAACCTTGTAATACACATACAACACTATTATATGTCACATGAATTTCCTCAGTCAAACCAGTGTCACCTATGTGTTTAGGTGAACGAAAAGACTGACACTTTAAACCCACAACTGACTCATTATGCAATTGTTCTTTTAACAATAATGCACCTGTCTAAAACAACAATAAATATTGTTACATTAATTTTTATTGCAAATTCAATCTAATTAATATAAATACATTTCATAAACCTTTATTACATATTGATTGGGTAATAATTTTCAAATTTAACTTACTTCTGTGTAAAACCTAATAAATCCAGTATTGAAACCAACAATAATACACGTCCAGTCTGGATTGATACCACCACTAGCATTACCCAATGATAATAAAGGTAAACAAATCACAGATGTTATCCATTCACTAAAAAACACTTTCAATATACGGACATATTTTCAAAGAAATTTATATACTATTATATTAAAAACTTTATTTATGTACTACTATAATGAAAACTCACTTTGGTTCTTTGGCAACTTCACCGTACCATATCATATGGAATTTATTTTTTGTCTCATCTGATTCTAACGAATCCCACCTTGCTAATGTCAAATTAAAGTATTAAAAATAAATAATTTAAAAGTCTAAATTCAACATTATATTGATTTTAGCCAAATTATAAACTTCATATATTATAAAAAAGAAGAAAGAAAAAAAAAGGGGGCCACTTAAAATTAAATAAAAATGGTGTACATATTTGTGTACGTATATATACATATGTTTAATACATACAAATTAATATAATCATCTTTGTATTATATGCCATAGCAAGGACATCTCCAGCTGATGATAATGATATAAAACAGTCTTGAAGTGGTAATTCATTTTGTGGAATGTCAACTAAAAAATGTTTGCATTGACATTTGCTACTTCTTTAGATGACAAAACAAAAGAATATAGTAACTTACATCTAGTACATTCTCCAAAAAGTAGCTCTTTGATATTACTTGTATTGGTTAAATTTGCTATTGTTTTTATCTGACAAGACATATCTAATCAATAACATAAAAATATTTATTTCAAACAACTTCGAACTTTCTTCGCTTTAATGTTGTAAATGCTATTCAGCTGGCTAAACTGACGACATTCTACCATAGACATCTAACAGAAAGATAATAGATTACAAACTGTCATATGCTTGCAAGTGGGGTAGTAATCACAGAGATTCTTCTTCTAAGACTTTACATTTCATGACAAATAAACATTCGTAGACTCATCATTGTTCTTGTTGTATTAATAGCGTAATATGAATATGTAAAGAAAAATGTACAAACGTTTATATGAATTGTCGACATTAATTAAAAATCGAAATCTAGATACGCAATACTTGTTCATATGAAACGTTAGGAAAATTTCAAGTCAAAATGGAGAACACGTGTTGCATGACATCACGTGACGTAATTTGTGACGTTCAGAAACAGTCGCTAAAGTTTTTCTGATTGGGCAAAACAGACCACTGGAACCAATGAAAATGTCTGTCTCTCCGCAATGGTCCGCGTAACGTGTTCAGCCATTTTGTTATTATTTTCGAAAATCTGTAGGTTGAGTTTAAGGACGACATAAAGCGCCCACTTTTCTCATTTCTCATTGAAAGTGAAGGGAAATATAAGAAATTCGTATGAGATTTAAGAAAGAAAGTTACAACGAAGAACGGCCTCGGTGGGTATCGTACATTTACGAGTGGAACTCTCTTCACTGACGATCGTCGCAAACGGAGCAAAGACAGGAGTGACGAGCGAGAGAACGTGCGAAAGATAGAGAGAGAAAGAGACGGTGAGGAACAGCGAGTGTGTGAAACGAGGAACGAAATTGGTCGCGCGCGGGAATCAGCGGTTGTGTGTTTGGCCTTTTTCTGATTGTGATTTACTGCGAGAGATTGTGATTGCTGGTGTGAAACGTGTGTTTTTTACCTACGAATTGAGAATCTACGTGTGGGAGTTGATGCGGTATGTTCAAACGTCGTTTACGATACTTGATTCGTTGAACAACGACGCAATGAGTAAAGTGCACCCGGATAACAAAAATCTATGAATTCCAATGATCTGTTATTAATATTTTACACCTCTATCACCCTTTATTTGTGTTTCATTAAATGTATTAGATAAAATACTTTTTATATTAAATTTATAAACATTACGCACAATAAATTTTCACATAACCTTGTTTGCGATTGTCAAATGTAGGTTAGGTCGAGCGGTCGCAGTGCGGTGACCTCCCTTGTTACACGTTAACAGTGATTTCCTAGTTTATTATTGCTTCTGTTTAGTTTTATTATTTATATTGCCTTCTATTTTTTTAATACTTTTCATTTGATTATAAACAAAAACGAATGATTTTCATACAGAAGCAAAATGGTATTAACTGATACTGTAGCCTTTTATAAGTTTCTAATACCTTTACTTAAAAAATTGTAACAATCTAAAACAAACGTTCCGTTAAAAATAATGCTATAATTTCAAAAATACAATATTTTTCAGTACATGCTATTTATAAACAGTAGAAATTGATGTTGTTCATGCTTTTAATCATATTTTTAGACGTAATAGTAGAAATATTTATTTTATCACATTGTGCTAAGTTATGTTTTTTAACTATTTGCTAATTTATGGAATAAATAAGTCTCCTTTTGGAAATATAACACTATGTACCATATATGCCTTATTTATATACTATGCAATTAATCTCAATGTATTAAATAATTATGTGAAATTTAATTATTTTCAGATAGAGTGTATGAAAGCTAGATAATTTACAATAAACAATGGCAACATTAGCAGAACAAGCATCTAAGCTTTTGGATTTTAATCAAAAGCTAGATATAACGCTTCTTGATAACATAGTAGGTTGTATGTACACTGGGATAGGTGAGCAACAAAGAGTTGCACAGGAAGTATTAACCACACTTAAAGAACATCCAAATGCATGGACACGTGTAGATACTATTCTAGAATATTCACAGGTTAGTGTCATCTACCAGAATTGATATATCTTACAAGTATACAAAGAGTTCTTTTAATTAAGTATAATTGTGTGTGCATAGAACCAACAAACAAAGTATTATGCTTTACAAATATTGGAACAAGTTATAAAGACACGATGGAAAGTATTACCACGAAATCAGTGTGAAGGTATAAAAAAATATATTGTAGGCCTTATCATAAAAACAAGCAGTGATCCAGAAACAATGGAGGCATCTAAAGTTTATCTTAATAAACTTAATATGATTTTAGTTCAGGTATGTTGTTCAATAAAGGTAGTTTTATATTTCAGTTTAACTAAATACATTTAATATAGGTTTTAAAACGAGAATGGCCAAAAAACTGGGAATCTTTCATTGGTGACATTGTTGGAGCAAGTAAAACAAATGAAAGTCTCTGTCAAAACAATATGGCAATTTTGAAATTACTATCGGAAGAAGTATTTGACTTTTCTAGTGGACAAATGACACAAACAAAAGCAAAACACTTAAAAGATACCATGTGTAGTGAATTCTCGGAAATTTTTCATCTTTGTCAATTTGTATTGGATAATTCGCAAAACGTTCAACTGGTAGCAGTTACATTAGAAACTCTCTTAAGGTTTTTAAATTGGATTCCTCTTGGATATATTTTTGAAACAAAATTAATAAGTACTTTAGTATTCAAGGTAAGTATTCAAGGTAATTCAATTTTCTTTTATTAAATATCTATATTAATTCTGAATTTTTTATTTCTTTTTGCAGTTCTTAAATGTACCAATATTCAGAAATATTACATTAAAATGCTTGACTGAAATTGCTGGTGTTACAGTAGCAACTTATGATGAAGTATTTGTAATGTTATTTGTTAATGTAATGCGCGAGTTGGAACAAATTCTACCACTTGATACAAACATACGTGAGGCATATGCAGCTGGCCAAGACCAGGAACAAAATTTCATTCAAAATCTAGCTATATTTCTTTGCACATATTTGAAAGAACATGGACAATTTATTGAAAAAAAACAGTTAAATGAATTATTGCTCAAAGCATTACACTATCTTGTCTTGATTTCTGAAGTTGAAGAAGTTGAAATATTTAAGATCTGCTTGGAGTATTGGAATGCATTGGCAATGGATTTATATAGATCTCATCCCTTTATGGTTCCATCAGCATTATTTATGGTTAAAAACAGGACACTTCCAACTAGAAGATTGTTCTATTGTCCAGTTCTAACTAAAGTACGATACATTATGATCAGCAGAATGGCTAAACCAGAAGAAGTTCTTGTTGTAGAAAATGAAAATGGAGAAGTTGTTAGAGAATTTATGAAAGACACTGATTCTATTAATTTATATAAAAATATGAGAGAGACTCTTGTGTATCTTACTCATCTTGACTATATTGATACTGAAAGAATAATGACATGTTACATTAATAATTATTATTCTTCTTAGTTATGCTGGGCAATAGGTAGTATTTCTGGTGCAATGCATGAAGAAGACGAAAAGCGATTTTTAGTAACTGTAATTAAAGATCTTCTTGGTCTTTGTGAACAAAAAAAGGGCAAAGATAATAAAGCTATTATTGCTAGCAATATTATGTATGTAGTTGGGCAATATCCAAGATTTCTCAAAGCACATTGGAAGTTTTTAAAGACTGTTGTAAATAAACTCTTTGAATTTATGCATGGTAAGAGTATTACATGATATGCAATATATAATGCAAATATATAATAAAATAAAAATAAGTTAATATATATTATATAAATAATGATATTACAAAATACTATGTAATTGTGATACATTTAGTTTAAATATTTTAGTTATGTGTCCAATAATATAGTAGGAAATGATATAAATAATTAGAAAACATTTGTTACAGAAACCCACGATGGTGTGCAAGATATGGCTTGT